TAATTATTATATGAATTTACTTTCACCTTTGAGCTTTCTCACGAAACACTAGGCGTAGGTCAGCAGGCTCGATCTGTTTTTGTCTTTTAGACCTTGATAATGCACACATTTGGCACGTCATTATTTCGTGTGATATCCGCAAAGGCATGTCCAATATTATAAACGTGGCAAACACGTGGCATCAAACGTGGCAATTTCAGCGTAAATACATGTAAGTTGAAACACAATTACGTAGGTAGGGATAAATGTTTTTCTCTTAAGATATGCATTGTTTCAATTGGAAAGTGACAGCGAGCGAGTGAGTCATAGTCAAGTCACTTATGTGTTATTTGGTAGTAGCTGGCTGAGGAATCATTCCCATACAGCCGTATTCGCAGTTTTTATTCTCTTTTCTTTCGACATTGGTGATTTGGGAGAGAATAGGTTATTTAAATATAATATATATCGTGTTATTGTTATATATATCTTAATATGCACATTATTATTTACTTTTTTCTTGTATATAATTTTTATTTTATTTTATTTTTAATGATGCAACTGTAAGGCTCCTATCAGAATAACAGCGCCCTTAGTATCATTCTGCCCATCTATGAACGATACTAGGGTCTTTGCTGAGATAGGGGTCCATCTTGGCCTCGCATATTTTTTTTTATTTTTCTCTTTTTTTACTGTATTCTTGTTAACGATTATGTATGTGGGTCAATAAATTTCTTTCTTTCTTTCTTTCTTTCTAAGTGTAATAGACAAAAAAATTGCAAAATTAAGTTAAAAGCAATTGGCAAAAATTTTTACCAGCGTATTTGATTGGCAATGCTATTATATTTAAAGTTCGATTCAAACAACTTTCCCTAAAATGAAGTGAGCAGATAAAAGTAACTTTTTCATTATATTTAATATTTTCTGCTCCAATGGAACTCGGCCATATTCCTCTTTTTGTTTCATCTTTTGGTAATCTAAAATAATGAATATATTTTTAAATAATAAAATTATCGATATAAACCCAATGTTAAAGTACAACACTAGCCATGTAAACAACATTATTTACGGACCGAAATATTATAGAAATATAAACGAAAAGAGCAATATAACATAAATAGAACACGCCAAAATACGATATGTATTGATTTATATACGCATTCATTTTCAGAAAGCTTAGTTACGTTTTAAATACTGTTTTTCTAAGAAAGTGTTTAACTTGCCGGTGAAACGTAATATTGCTCGGTTTGCGGGATATCGATGACGCACAACCAATTACACTGCACCTAGGCATTGTTTTGCATAAATAATTTACAAGTTTCTGCCATGAAAGTAATATAAATTAAAGTTAGAAATGAAAATAACCACAAAACTTATAACACTGACAGCTGAACTACTTCCGAGAATACGCACTGCATATTTGCAAATGGCGGACAAGTGGTACGATAGCTATACGTTTAAAAATAGATTACTCTAGATCGCTATACGATAGATTTTACGTCTTGACGTCACGTAAAAAATTTTGAACTGTCACACTAGTGCGATCTTTGTTTACTAAAGACACTTCTTATTATATAGTTAAAAAAAAGACAACATGATGTTTTCGATGCCAACTTCTTCTTCTTCTTCTTTTATTAATGGCTTATCTGCGCATTTCGCACAATTCTGCCAATGTCAAGTGAATAAATAAATTTCTTCATGTAAAATGAAAATGAAATGAATGAAAGATGGCGATGAAAACTAGAAAAAACCGATGCCAACTTCAGATTGCATGATATTTATATAACCATAGAAAATACGATATTTCCACTCTACCTTGTCTCTATGATATATCATCATAGAGTCTGGCAAGCGAAACGTGTCACAAGAAAAGGGCGGCAATTTCAAAAATTCTTAAGCAGTAAACACTGAATGTAGTACTGCAAAATAATTTTGATACTTTTATTAATTATATTTAATCTTAACATTTAGATATCAATTAAAATTATTTGTTTTGGAACATTTGACTAAAGCGTGACTGTTCTTAATTGTACAGTTAACAGCATATCAGTAGGCCTATTCACTAACTCAACTGACAACCAAGAATCGTCATCACCGTAAAAAATAGACACTTTGATTGTGTCAAAATCACTATTTCGTATTCTCTATCAATGATGAGCAATTTCGAAATGTCAATATCGGCATTCTCCACTGGACTCCATTTTGACACTTGATTTCGTATCGATAAACTGTATTAAAGTAACATTGTTGCAAAGCATATTTGAAGTCGTCGCATAGTACCTCTTAAGCCATTTGTTGTTAAATTAAAGCGAAAAAAAATACGTATCCAATATTTTTCTATTATCTGACTGACGGACTAAATCGAATCTTTTTTTTAACCCATTCGTTATACCTATTGGCTAACAGCACTTATAATATTAAAAATTCATATTTGTCATTAATTAAAAGGGTGTTTTTTGCAACGACTTCTTTGTTTTTTTGTAATGAATATGGGCGACTCTGGCCACATTTTTTTAATAAATGTGATGTTAGCCAATTTTGATTTCTGGCCCTTATATTTATAATGTGTTCATAACACATACATGTCTCCTAAGGGATTTTCATCACAACCTTTTGCTCTGATCCAGAACCACTATCTATCAAATTAAATTAGTCAATATAAACACCAGATTACAATAAAAAAAACATTTATTTTTGTTACAATTAAGTGCCATGGATAAATTACATAATACAGGTGTCACAAAATCATCATGTTAATCACAATAGAAAATTTAAGATAAGATTTTGACTATGAATCAGACTAAAAATACTTTAGTCTGATTCATAGTCAAAATCTGTTTCTAAATATTCTACACCTGATAACAATGACAAGGAATCATCAGAGTCACTCTCTTCACTACTGTCTGCACCAACAGATATAATAAATTTTTCAAGTTCGTTTTCAACAATGCCATCTTTTAATTTGTAATCATTTTCGACATTTAAAACATGATCAGTGTATTTCTTCCAGTCACTAGGGGTAATTAAGTTAAAACACTCTATTATTAAGTTTTCCATTTCCTTTCCTGGTATTCCAATGTTTCTGCTTGCAATTTTTCTTTTTGCTTGACTCCAAACCATCTCTATTGGGTTTAAGTCACAATGATACGGTGGCAGCAATAAAAGTTCATGATTATGTTCTTTTAAAATCTCTTCAGCTTCATATACAGGCAATGTTTTCTTATCATTAACCAAACACATTAACTCTGCCTTTGTCTGATATTCCTCAAAATGTATTCCATTATTTACAAGCCATTTACGGATATCTGCTTTGGTATTAGACATTATAGGCGGTTTATTGATTTGTTTTATATGGTAGCTGGCATTATCCATAACAATTACACTGGGCTTACTTAAATTTGGTATTAATTTTTCTCTGACCCATTTCATAAAGTTCGATGAGTTCATATCATCATGATAATCAGCAGATTTGGATTTACTACTGAACACTAATAATGCACCAGGCACAAAACCTTCCTCAGATCCAGCATGCACAACAATATGCCGTTTTCCAGAGGATATCTTTGTAGTGACACCAGTTGTTGAAGGTCCTTGCCAAGACTTTTTAACTTTATAATTCTGATGTACATAAGTTTCATCAAGGTACACAATTTGCTTTCCTTCGTTTCGTTTTATATTTATTTCTCTCAAATACTTGTGCCTCCATGCAGAAATCTGGTATTTTTCTATAAGCATAGAACGTTCATTTTCATTGCTTTTAAAAGAAAATCCATTCTTAAGCATAATTTTTCGTAAAGTCTCACGGCTACCACTGAATCCTATTGCATCTTTTAATTCATTGTGAAGGCTTCTTAATGTTGGAACAATTTTTTTCACACAGTAAAATTCATTTACTTTATTCCGAATTGCACTTAAATCAAAATTATCTAAAGCAGACACTGTTGGTTGATGAGGTCGTTTTTTCCCAGGAGTGTCCCATTTTCCTTTATTAATTAATGCTTCATTTTTTATCCTTCTTAGTGTCCTTATACTTACATCTATAAAAGATTAAACACTTTGAAACAAAGATATGTTAAATGTATTTAAAAGCAAATAATGATAGACACATACATCAAAATAATTTAAATACCTATTCAACTATGAATGCAATTTATGTTTAATTTAGTTAAGTTTATGTGCATATTTAGCATGTATAACAATTACATGGTTTGATTAGTTTCATGAATTCTGTGAATTTCCTTGTTAAACAAAACATTCTTATGACATCATTGGATGTCAACAATAAAAACCAATACATCATAAAAAAACCTATGTAAATATTATAGGAATACTATCAATCTATCTTAAATCAAAACAAGAAAAGAGACCTGTCATTGAAGAAATTTTTTGTAAGTACTGCGTTTCCGAATTCAGCATTTCTTGTTTTTCTAAAGTTTTTATTGCATTTATCTCCTCCATTATTGGTTGAATATCACCATCACAGTTATCTGAAATAGAGCAATATTTTATAAAAAATATCTGTTTAGTTAATTACAGAAAATTAAAACGAAAGTATCAAAATTATAATACAAAACTAACCTAAAAAAGATACAACTTTATCTAATCGTTGTAATTTCTCCATGAAATTTTTATTTAATTCAGTTTTCACTTCAGTAAACTTGTCAATCATGATGGAAAGAAGTTTCCTCGATGAACTTTTTATCGGCTTCGACATAATTTTTAACCAAAAACACAAGTTCAAATTCGCAAAAACAACAAAATTCAATATTCTTGAATTGTCTAACGTAGTGTCAAACTGACAGTTCTATGTTGTTGCCATATGAAAACGGAAAAATAGGTGGTGTCACGTTTCGCTTGCCAAACTCTAACATTAGTGTCTTCTGTCCATAGACACTTTTAACTAACATGTTAAAAACTAAAATTTGCAAAGTTCATTTGAAAACCGGTAAGGTTGTCATGAAGAAATAAAGAAAGTACCGTAGCGACATCTGGTTTGATTTAGGGAACTCGTTTTTTTTTTAATACTTCATTTCAACTGTCTATATGTGTCATTGTCACTCACTATTTGTAACAACAAAATATTGCGAAGAAATTGTTTGTTGCTTTTTTTGATGAGATTTTTTCAGTACTTACTCAAATAGTTTATGTAATAAAAGTTTTAGAATTGTTTCAGTGAATTAAAAATCGTAATGTAAAGAAGAGATTTCCATAATAAACTACAGTAAAATTTGTTTCGATGTCCGTTTCTTTGTGTGTATTGAGAGTGGAAATCGACGAAGATCTTCCAGAAATGGGTGATAATAATTCGTCTGATATGGGTAATTATAGATTCAACTAGGCACATTATACTGAAGTACTACCAAGAAATGTTATACGTCTGTAATTTCTCAGGATACTAAAATAATTTAACTGACGAGGAAATTTTATAAGATTTTGTAAACTTTTTATTAATAATGTCATTTAATGTAAACGTTATTCATTTAGAAGCTGTTAAGGAACAAAAGAAACGTGATCGTGGTGCACGTGAATCAAAGACGATAACAGTGGAAACATATGCAAGCGTTCTTGCTGGTGCCAACAACGACAATGGTATTCTGCCTACCAGCTCACGCCGTACAACTGAAAGAAGTGTTTCTGAAGATGTTGAGACCATTAGTTTTTTTTGCGGAAATCCTCTAGTGGAAGTAACAAAAGGAGTCCTTCACCTATATAAGGAGAAGTATGAATTAGTTTTAAGACACATCATTTTACTTTTATCTTTACATATCTAGTGAGATATGGTGCAAGTAATTTTCTTTTATTCAATATTATTGTGGAACTATGTTTTAGATTTCATATTATCGTTTTAGTGAGTTGAAAGAAGCAGAAGAAGCTAAGACATTGTGTCTGTTGTCAGTGCCTGGTGCACTAGGAGCTCCAGATTTATTGGCGTTTGCGGCGGCTTGCCAACAAGATATAGCTCATGTTAGAGTTCTACGTGATGGCTCACCGGATCATTATATGGCTCTATTGACGTAAGTTTATTTATTAATAAAAAAGGAAAACCTAGGTACCACGCATGCGAAACTACTTAATAATTTATTTGCCATTTATACATAACATGCCTTTTCCCCAAGTATGTTGAAAAATATATTCAACCATAATAAATCAACGTAACTTAAATCAATAAAACTACTCAACAAAAGAATGGAAACATATCAATCTATAATGTTTGTATACATTTTAATATTTCTCTTGAGACACCTTACATCATAAGTTTAAGAAAACAACTGCCTTAATTAATAAATTATGCCTAGTATCCAACAAGGTCATCATCATCATCATCATTTCAGCCGAGAGACGCCCACTGCTGGGCATAGGCCTCCCCCAAAGATCTCCAAAACGATCGGTCCCTTTGAAAAATTCCCATTCATTACTCTCTCTCTATCTAGTCTTTTTTTTTACTGCTAAGGTGTAGGCCTCCCTCAGTTTTTGCCATCTTTCTCGGTCTTGAGCAGTCTCCATCTATTATGTTTCTGAAACTCTTGATTTCGTCATACCTTTATGCCTGTATGTGAGCACTGGTAAAATGCACCGGTCATGAATACATTCTGTCCCAAATCGGACTGTCAACACTTTACTTGTGAATTTCGCATTATTTGCTGCTAACTTATAATGCATTTGTGTTATTCCGGATGATTTTACTTGAACACCTTTTGATTACAACTCCGAAGGCCTGACATCATGTTAGGGATTTTGATTTCGGATGGTTTTGTTTTAGGAAGCATATGACTGCATTTAGAACAGCAGCAAAGACAGCTTGGCACAGATTGTAATATTATTTCCATGTAAGTTTTTTTTAGAGCTGGCCACCAAATATAGCTGCTTGCAAGTGCTTTTGTGTGTACAATTCCATTGTGAGATTTGTGCAAGCCTCACAAAACGACTGCAGTGATTACTCAGAATGCCTTAACTAATAAGGGTGTAAGTGCTTATCCGTTACCTTGACTGGCCACCCACTTAATATATAATGGCTTGCCTGTGAGAGATTTATGCCACAAGTTATTAGGAAAGGTTTCTGAAAGTCATAGTGTACCAGTGTCATATCAGAAGAAAGCAGTCCTTTTACAGTATCGAAACTATTCTGTAATACTTCTGTCTATTGCAATTTTCGCGACTTATCGAGGATCTATATAGAGACACAAGCATCGTAGCCTTATTTTGTATGAAACTTGTAAGGTCCCAAAAACGCCTGTAACTGTTGAACATTCTTAGGCTCCGGTGTATTTCTAATCGACTCTACCTTACTCAACGCCGGGTGAATGTCGCCGGAATCAATAAGAAACTCTAAGAATTATTTACCAAATTTGCACTTATTTTCATTGAGACGCAAACTAGCTTTTTCAATTCGTTTAAGTACCACGTCAAGGCGTTGAGTAAATTCTGGCGGAGTCCGACCGCTGAAGATGACATCATCAATCAGTACAGCTACGCCCGCTATGCCTGCTAGCACTGCCTTCATCAATCGTTGGAGAATATCTGGACATGCCTTGACACCGAAAGCTAACCCGTGGACACTAAATAACCCTTTACATGTATTTAACGTTAATAGGCGCGCTGTGGCATCACACACTATTACCTGTATCTAAGCTCTGTCTAGATCTAATAAAGTGTAAAATTTATCCTCAGTTACACTAGCAAATACTTCACTATGCATAGATAGGTATCGAGCTCGATAGCCTGATTTACTCTTTCTTTTTTATTATAGACCGCAGTCGCCCAATCCGAATAACGCGTAGGGCGGATTACCCCCTCACAAACCGACCTATCTATTTCGCTTTCAACTCTTTCTTCAATGGGACCTATCGAGTTTTTATAAATTTCGATACGGCATTACATTTCAGATGAACAGGGACAGGGTCGTCTCGGTAGGCACCGAGACCGACGAGAAATACCTCTTTATGCATTTATAATATAGCGTCAACGGTAGACTATATCATTATACACCCTTCCCCCGGCCAGTTTCCGCACGTCGCAGGCGGCCCGCGAGTTTCACGCAGCGTTCGACGGCGTCCCGTACAGCAGCCTGGAGCCGAGCGCGCTCTGCCACACCGCGTGGGTGTCCCGCGTCGAGTGGGCGCGCCACGGGACTCCGCCGCCATCTCACACCGAGCTGCCGACCTGCCCGGTCTGTCTCGGTGAGTGAAAAATTCAGGAACGAACTTTCAGTCGTAGAAAGGGCAATTTCGTATTTTCGGGTCGATCTCTAGCGAAGTAATTATCCTGTAACAGAGCGCATGGACGAGAGCGTGGCGGGCATCCTGAGCGTGCAGTGCGCGCACGCGTTCCACTCGGCGTGCCTGGTGCGGTGGCGCGACGCGCGCTGCCCCGTGTGCCGCTGCGCGCAGACGCCCGAGCCGCGCGACAGTGCGCGCTGCGCGCAGTGCCTCGCCACCCCGGGTGCGTGTCCTACTCGCGTATGAGGCTTATGTCGAGCCGAATACTCACTGATCATTATTTCAACGTAGCCGAACGAGGGGAAGGCGACGGCGAGGGGGAGGAGACTCGGGACAACATAAGTGGCGTGGCGGAGGGATTATTGGACGGGGTGGAGGCCGGCACGCTGTGGATCTGTCTCATCTGCGGACACGTCGGCTGCGGCAGGTAACCGCGGGCCGCTCGCTCGAGTCCAGTCCGGCTCGAAGGACCGTAACATATTATAAGAATTATTTTTGACAGAATGACATACGGTGCTTCAAAATTAATAATGGCCATCGGAAACACTCATCTGATAATATGAGTCAAAAACAAAAACAGAGCGAGGTGGCAATAGATATACATTATCTGTGAATATTTTAATTCTCAATTATCACGGTTCATAATACCTAACCTGATGACGGCAAAAAACATAAGTTTTAGTATGGGAGCCTTCTTAAACATTTATTATATTCTATTTTTTTATATTTGTTGTTGAAGCGGCAACAGAAATACAAAATAATACATACATAATTAATAAAATAAAACAAAAGAAATACATAACCTGTGATAATTTCCACTGTCAAAATTTCACGGTTTATGAGATACAGTCTGGTGATAGACAGACAGCAAATTTTTTAGGAGTAAGGATCCGGTTTTAACTTTTTGGTACGAAACCCTAAAAAGTAGCTCGGCTCCTCAAAATCTTTACAATTAACTAAAATTTCACATCATTTTTAAAACAACAGCAAACTAAGCGGTTCCAGTGGCTCGCCGGCGACACTAATTTGTCACTCGGAGATAGTATCGAAAGCGGGAAGGACGTGCGCTACCGATTTTTATAAGTAAACCGAGCTGATATAATCCCGCTTCGTATTTTGTTTGATATAATATTTTCAAGTATTTTATTCTGTGTACTTCGTGTATTCATAAGTTTTGAAACAAACTTTTCACTGAAAAAGTAAAATAAAATGTTACTTTTTTTACCGATTTTGAATTTGGAATGTTAACTTTCAGTTTATTTGTATCGCAAAATCATTTGTTTGTATTATCTCGTGATAGAGGGAACGAAACAATTACGTGCAACTGTCATATCGCTATTTAAGGCGGGAGAAAAACCGATGCAGATTTTCCGTAAGCCTTAACTTCGTCTATTATACAATACAGCGGTACACAAGAGACAAGTTCTTTGCAAGATCGCCAAAGAAGTGGTCGGCCACGCTGTGAGGACGCCTGCGATCATCAAAATCATCCGAGAGCGACGATTTCATTGAACAGAATACTTAAATATTTTATTTTTTATTTATTATTTTATGTGATAAAAACGACGTACATCAGTTACAATTATCAACAATTACAAAAAAAAAAAGAATAAAATTAACAATTCACATTCATTATTAAAATAATTAAAATTTATCACACATAAAATAAGTAAGTCATAAATAAAATAGGTCAATAAATTAACAATTACATTGTCAAACAAAAAATCGAAATTGGTGTTGGCGTCACGAAGTGCATTGAGGTGTCGCAGAGGCCTAACTAAGGGCGACATCTTAAGGTAATGAATGACCTATAGTCGTAGAAAAGTTAACTACACTACTAAAAAGACGCGAACGTTATCCATTGCTGCTGAGAAGATATGATGCCAGAAATATACTCTTCACCGACGAGAAAATTTTTACTGTCGACAAAAAGTTTAACGGACAAAACAATAAAGTGTACGCTAAAAGTAGCAAGGATGTCCCAGCTTCTTCACGCAATGTCTCGCGCACTCATCATCCCGCTAGTGTGAAGGTATTGTGGGGAGTTTCGTATGAAGGTGTCACTCCGCTTCACTTCTGCCAAAAAGATGTCAAGGTGAAAGCCAAGAATTATCAAAAAGCACCAAAGTTTGGTTGAGGGAAAATGTGCCGGCCTTTATCGAGGCGGGCTAGTGGCCCTCCTCCAGCCCCGATCTCAACCCGCTGGATTGTTCTTTATAGACTGAATTAGAGCTCAGGACCTGCCGAAAGTCCCACCCAAACATGCAGTCACTGAAGTGAACCTTTGATCGTGAAGTAAAGCGAATTCCGATAAAAAAGATTCATGCGGATTAAAAACAAGGGCGGCCATTTTGAATAAAATATATATTTTATTGTTGATTATTATCTATTTAATGGTTACTGAAAATTTTACAAATACAATTTAATTATAAAAAAAGTTGCGCAATTTTAAAAAATTTCGTCTCAAAACTTATGAACATACGAGGTAGGTATATAAACAGCGGAACAACAGCTCCATTTATACCGCCTGGACGCGTCGATTGCCTTCGGAAACACTAAGTCGGTCTCGACGTCCTGTACTCGTGCGACGGAACGCCGAAGCTATTGAATTATTGTTTTCCGCGAAACATTCTGTAGTGATTTTGCATCCACATACCGCCCGGGCACAACTACTACTCGGCTTTTAACTATTTACAACATAAGAACATCAAAGCCCTCACTGATAATCATCGGGTAAGCGACGTGTAGCCGGTCAGTGTTTTATCTTTTTAACTCGAAATGAAAGTGACATTAGAACGACACGAGCAAAATGACGTGGAACGGCTATAAGTTTCTTATTAGGAAGTGTACAAATGTTTATCATAAAGACTAATAGTATATCATCAACATCATCATCATCACCAGCCCTTTTACGTCCCCACTGCAGGGACTCAGACCTTCCTTATGAATGGATAAGGAGGATGGGCCATGCCCCTCCACGCTGGCCCAATGCGGATTGGAGGGAATTAACGACTGAAAATGCAGCCGGGACCAACGGCTTAACGTGCCTTCCGAAGCACGAAGTATCTCGAGATAATAATTTTTTGGTCACCCATCCCGTGACCGACCCTTGCGAAAGTTGCTTAACGACTACGATTGTGAGCCGCGGCGCTTATCCACTACGCCACCGAGCTACTTTAATAGTATATGTATGTTCCTTACATGAATTTTAATAGTATATGTCGCATTTAAAATTTAAATATTCGGAGGTGTTCGATATGAAATGAAATGAAAATATTTTTATTCAAGTAAGCTTGTTACATTTTTGAATCCTCAAATTTTTATCATAAGTTATGACATTTACAAAATTATGTCACTACCAAAATAATATGTACAAAGTAGTAGTATTTATTATCACAATAATAAATACAAAGTCTGTAGGTCATAGTTTGTACATATAATTAGTTGTTATAGAACAAAGCGAAGGCTATTAATTCCATGCACTGCAGTCCTTAAAATAATAATCAACTTGATAATATGTTCTTTACATGAATTTTAAATATATTACGGGAATCACTTGATAATATGATTTGTCGATCTCCATTCAAGATACGAAGGCGGGCACGCTGCGAAGCATTTCTTAGCATCGAATCACACGTACGCCTTGCAATTGGGTTCCAACAGAGTCTGGGATTACGCAGGTAATTTCAAAGCGGAACTTTTCTACTTCTTCACTTTTCTATTCGTATTCGTCAATATAAAATATGAAATTTGACGCAGGTGACAACTTCGTCCACCGTTTAGTGCAAAACAAGGCCGACGGAAAACTGGTGGCGGCGGAGGGGATCCCGTCCGGGGACAAGCTGGAGGCGGCGCAGCTCGAGTTCACGTACGTGCTCACCGCGCAGCTGGACGAGCAGCGCGCGCACTACCAGCGCCGCCTCCACCAGTGAGTGACGTCACGCGCCCGCACCTCTCCCTATAGCTCACGCACGTGCTCACCGCGCAGCTGGACGAGCAGCGCGCGCACTACCAGCGCCGCCTCCACCAGTGAGTGACGTCACGCGCCCGCACCTCTCCCTATAGCTCACGCACGTGCTCACCGCGCAGCTGGACGAGCAGCGCGCGCACTACCAGCGCCGCCTCCACCAGTGAGTGACGTCACGCGCCCGCACCTCTCCCTATAGCTCACGCACGTGCTCACCGCGCAGCTGGACGAGCAGCGCGCGCACTACCAGCGCCGCCTCCACCAGTGAGTGACGTCACGCGCCCGCACCTCTCCCTATAGCTCACGCACGTGCTCACCGCGCAGCTGGACGAGCAGCGCGCGCACTACCAGCGCCGCCTCCACCAGTGAGTGACGTCACGCGCCCGCACCTCTCCCTATAGCTCACGCACGTGCTCACCGCGCAGCTGGACGAGCAGCGCGCGCACTACCAGCGCCGCCTCCACCAGTGAGTGACGTCACGCGCCCGCACCTCTCCCTATAGCTCACGCACGTGCTCACCGCGCAGCTGGACGAGCAGCGCGCGCACTACCAGCGCCGCCTCCACCAGTGAGTGACGTCACGCGCCCGCACCTCTCCCTATAGCTCACGCACGTGCTCACCGCGCAGCTGGACGAGCAGCGCGCGCACTACCAGCGCCGCCTCCACCAGTGAGTGACGTCACGCGCCCGCACCTCTCCCTATAGCTCACGCACGTGCTCACCGCGCAGCTGGACGAGCAGCGCGCGCACTACCAGCGCCGCCTCCACCAGTGAGTGACGTCACGCGCCCGCACCTCTCCCTATAGCTCACGCACGTGCTCACCGCGCAGCTGGACGAGCAGCGCGCGCACTACCAGCGCCGCCTCCACCAGTGAGTGACGTCACGCGCCCGCACCTCTCCCTATAGCTCACGCACGTGCTCACCGCGCAGCTGGACGAGCAGCGCGCGCACTACCAGCGCCGCCTCCACCAGTGAGTGACGTCACGCGCCCGCACCTCTCCCTATAGCTCACGCACGTGCTCACCGCGCAGCTGGACGAGCAGCGCGCGCACTACCAGCGCCGCCTCCACCAGTGAGTGACGTCACGCGCCCGCACCTCTCCCTATAGCTCACGCACGTGCTCACCGCGCAGCTGGACGAGCAGCGCGCGCACTACCAGCGCCGCCTCCACCAGTGAGTGACGTCACGCGCCCGCACCTCTCCCTATAGCTCACGCACGTGCTCACCGCGCAGCTGGACGAGCAGCGCGCGCACTACCAGCGCCGCCTCCACCAGTGAGTGACGTCACGCGTTCCTCCATGCGGCCCGGTGGGGATCGACGAATAAACGTGCCTTGTCGTGAAGGATGGAGTTGCGAGAAATATTAATTTTTACTACGCCTCCGAGGTCCTCTTAATATTAATTTGTTTTGTTTTTTCATAAATTGTTTGTAAAAAGTATTTTGTCGATTTTTGAGAGCTCCGGCTGCTGCCTTCGTAATAAAAACAACTTTAACTATATCAGAGTCACCGAACGTTAATCGTTTGATACAGGATAGAGTCGGAGCACGCGGCCGAGTGCGAACAGTTGCAGACGCGCGCGGCCGACGCGGAGGCGGAGGCGAGTCAGCTGAGGGAGCGAGTGAACGCGCTCACTAAACAAAACAAGTCTATGGAGAAGAAACTACAGCAGATCACCAACAAGTAAGATAGTACCGTTTAAGAAGGACCGAAAACTGAATAAATCACTTATTTTTAATTGGTTTTGTACTAAGAAATAACAACGGCAAGGTTAAAATATATCGTATTTATTAAAATTTGTTAACATATTTAATGAGCTGTTAAAAATGAAAATATTACAATATATTTGCAAGGGTTTTCTGCGCGGGTACATGTGTCGTTATAGTGTACATGTGTGTTGTGTGTGGACGTGTGTGTAGAGTGGGCGCGCTGCAGGGCGAACTGGCCGTATATGTAATGGTGGACGTGTGTGTAGAGTGGGCGCGCTGCAGGGCGAGCTGGCCGTATATGTAATGGTGGACGTGTGTGTAGAGTGGGCGCGCTGCAGGGCGAGCTGGCCGTATATGTAATGGTGGACGTGTGTGTAGAGTGGGCGCGCTGCAGGGCGAACTGGCCGTATATGTAATGGTGGACGTGTGTGTAGAGTGGGCGCGCTGCAGGGCGAGTTGGCCGTATATGTAATGGTGGACGTGTGTGTAGAGTGGGCGCGCTGCAGGGCGAGCTGGCCGTATATGTAATGGTGGACGTGTGTGTAGAGTGGGCGCGCTGCAGGGCGAGCTGGCCGTATATGTAATGGTGGACGTGTGTGTAGAGTGGGCGCGCTGCAGGGCGAGCTGGCCGTATATGTAATGGTGGACGTGTGTGTAGAGTGGGCGCGCTGCAGGGCGAGCTGGCCGTATATGTAATGGTGGACGTGTGTGTAGAGTGGGCGCGCTGCAGGGCGAGCTGGCCGTATATGTAATGGTGGACGTGTGTGTAGAGTGGGCGCGCTGCAGGGCGAGCTGGCCGTATATGTAATGGTGGACGTGTGTGTAGAGTGGGCGCGCTGCAGGGCGAACTGGCCGTATATGTAATGGTGGACGTGTGTGTAGAGTGGGCGCGCTGCAGGGCGAGCTGGCCGTATATGTAATGGTGGACGTGTGTGTAGAGTGGGCGCGCTGCAGGGCGAGCTGGCCGTATATGTAATGGTGGACGTGTGTGTAGAGTGGGCGCGCTGCAGGGCGAGCTGGCCGTATATGTAATGGTGGACGTGTGTGTAGAGTGGGCGCGCTGCAGGGCGAGCTGGCCGTATATGTAATGGTGGACGTGTGTGTAGAGTGGGCGCGCTGCAGGGCGAGCTGGCCGTATATGTAATGGTGGACGTGTGTGTAGAGTGGGCGCGCTGCAGGGCGAGCTGGCCGTATATGTAATGGTGGACGTGTGTGTAGAGTGGGCGCGCTGCAGGGCGAGCTGGCCGTATATGTAATGGTGGACGTGTGTGTAGAGTGGGCGCGCTGCAGGGCGAGCTGGCCGTATATGTAATGGTGGACGTGTGTGTAGAGTGGGCGCGCTGCAGGGCGAGCTGGCCGTATATGTAATGGTGGACGTGTGTGTAGAGTGGGCGCGCTGCAGGGCGAGCTGGCCGTATATGTAATGGTGGACGTGTGTGTAGAGTGGGCGCGCTGCAGGGCGAGCTGGCCGTATATGTAATGGTGGACGTGTGTGTAGAGTGGGCGCGCTGCAGGGCGAGCTGGCCGTATATGTAATGGTGGACGTGTGTGTAGAGTGGGCGCGCTGCAGGGCGAGCTGGCCGTATATGTAATGGTGGACGTGTGTGTAGAGTGGGCGCGCTGCAGGGCGAGTTGGCCGAGGAGCGCGGACTGGCGGCCGCGTTGGCGCGCTCGCACCAGGAGTGGCAGCACACCGCCAGCAGCCAGGAGCAGGAACTCATGCACCAGGTAATATACAGTTTACGTATACTCATCGTATGTCTACACTTATATTATAAAGAAGAAAAGTTGGTTGTTTGTATGTTCGTTTGTTTGCATCGAAATAGACTCCGAAAATACTTTCCTTTCTCTTTCGAGTAACTATATAATACGGGGCTAATATAAGTTATAATTTACGCCTCACTGGCGTCTCGAAATCTATGAAAAACAGATGTTGCTTTTGTGAATGTTTCTCTCCTTTTATAGTTTTGTTTATTTAACGTTTATTTGTTTAGGATAACAAATGGTGTTAATAATTTCCATTTATACATTTGTATTTAGTAACTTATGTGTGCGTGAATCCCTTGCAGGTGAGGGAGCTGAAGGAGCAGTTGCGCGACGTGATGTTCTTCGTGGAGGCGCGCGACCGCCTGGCCGAGGCCGGGCCCCCCGCGCAGGAGCTGGCCGCCGCGCAAGTGACCGTGGCCCCGCCCCCGCCCCCGCCCACCCATCCCCGCGCCCGCCGCCGCCGCACGCAGCCGCGCTCCTAAACACCACGACGCGCACGTGCCCGTGGCCCCGCCCCCGCCCCCGCCCACCCATCCCCGCGCCCGCCGCCGCCGCACGCAGCCGCGCTCCTAAACACCACGACGCGCACGTGCCCGTGGCCCCGCCCCCGCCCCGCCCACCCATCCCCGCGCCCGCCCCCATCGTTTCCCACCCTCCTTCCCGAACATTCCTTATACATCGCAATCCATCTCTCCCCGAACCACAGAATTCTTTTACTCCCCCCTGGCCGATCTATTCTTCCAGAATTGTCCCGTACGAAAAACGCATGTTTTCCTCGTCGAACTAAAACTTGTGTTTTGTAGTTAAACAACGGCCTCGGATCTAAGAAAGACATGTCGGAAGACCCGTCTCGGTGAGTTAAGATCGTTCCCGATAGAACGCAGAGATCGCCGAATGTTATAAAAAAAAAACTCATTTACCTAAGCAATTATATTCTATTCATTGACTTAATTGATTAGAATGAGATTTAATATTAATCATATTTTATTTATGGGTCGATACCGGTCGGAAGGGGCTATCGCATTTCTACCCGGGTTATAAAAAAATCTTGGATCCGAGGTTGGCAAAAACTATTATTTACTTTTGATCATCGATAATGATAAATAATCCGAAGTATATACTCGGGAGAAACATTATTATAATGCCAGTATTATGTAGCTGAGAGTTTTCCTTATGATTTATTGTGTCGATACATGAAAATGTTAGTGATGTGTATCCTATCCCGATCCGTATTAATTCCGTAATAATATAAAATTTTCTTAATTATTATAGCATAATTTTCCATCTAAAATAAAAACCATCTGCAGGTTACATAAAATGAGGGCTCCCGTAATTTCGCTCACCAGATGGCGCGTCAGTCGTGAGAGGTCCTGTCAAAGTTTGTTTACTACGAGATTAAATCATACATCATACATAAATAAACCATTTTATTAAAAACTAGCTGTTTTCCCGTGACTTTGACCCGAAATTTATAACTACTAAAATATCAGATACCACAAAATAAGCGCAAAATTCGTTTATTTGAAAAGTAATGCATATATTTCCCTGACAAAGTATGATATTTGATATTTTAAAGACCTCACGCAAAACTAGCGCCTCTAGTAGCAAATTCCAACACATTAAATATATTTATTTATTGTTTACTATAAAATCATTAATGTCAAGAATCGTTATGAAGATGCGTCGAGCGATGCAAATTACTGTGATAAGATCTAGATTGTAAGAGAATGTGTTAGGACTTTTGTTTTACTATTTTTTTGTGACAAAATAAATTATCGAATAATAATGTGTCTTTTCTTGTTATTTTATGGAAATGCGAAGAGCTTAAAAAGGAGGGTTTGACTTTTTATTGCTAATCATAACAACAGGCACGTTACCTTACACATATGCAGAACTTTAGAAATTCTTGAATAGAATGAACTTGTGTGTTGACGAAGTCGTTGAAAATTTATTGTGAGAATTCAATGTTTACGGTGACTTGTGGCACCTTTCCACACATTTTCAGAACGCTATCAATGATAAAAATAGAAAATTATTATTAACATTACAAAAATATGACAAACATAAAATAGTTTTATGAAATTATGTAAAAATTGGCGTAAATGTTATCAGTGACATTTCAAATAAAATATGTTATAAATTAATTACAAGTAGACAAAAAAATTTGGTAGTAAATACCAATTACACATATATAAATGATACCTTCATAATACGTAAATATACATACATATATACTATACTTATATGTACCTATTGCGCAATACTAGTAGTCGGTATTAGCAGGATATTTCATTGTGAAAGGTAGAATTCCTGAACACTATTTTTTAAAGTTTGCATCGATTTCGTTCGCTTTATAGAAGTTGAAAGGGAATTCCAAAGATGAACAGCGCGCACAGTGAAAGAAAAATTGTAAAAAGTAGAGTGAGATGGAATCTCAAAACTGATGATAATAATGGGTTAAAATATAAACTGATGATAATTAGGTTAAAATATATCCTACTTTAAATACAAATAAATCTGAATTTATTAATGATATTAAGATGCAATATTGATAAACATTTGTCTCCGAATGAAAAAAAAAACAACTTTAGTAATTGTTTGCCCTATATTAAAAGGTAAATTGTTAATATTGATTAAATAAAATAGGAAAGTGTAACGATTGAGATATCACCTTAAGCTCGATAATATTAAAATAATAAAGCTACAATTTTAATGAGGAAGTATTTAAAAAAAAAACGAAAGCACCTCCACTAGATGGCGACTCTAGCAAAGGTTGATTTTTGCAGGAAACGAGTGGACCAAAGAAAAGTTCGAAACTTAGATATCAATACAAATGCGAAAAAGTACAAATAGAATATGGGTTGTTTATTGAGTTTTGAAAACTAATTTATTTTTAAACATGAAAGAAAATCGGAAGAGGTGTCATGGAGAAATCAAGAACGTACCGTAGCGACATCTAGTTTGATTTCGGGAACTAATGTTTTTTTTAAATACTTCCTCATTCTTATATAAAAATCAATACGACCGTAACTTTGAGGCGAAAACGATAAACCATAATGTTTCGCTACAGTATTTTTTAAAATATTTTGTATATGCTTTGTTTGTTTACATTACAGTACTGGAAATCGTGTTATTTTTTTTTATTTTTCAGATGAAATAGGGTATTAGACACTATTAAAATAAATTGCGTATTATGGTCATCCTGTTAGATAATAATCTAATAAAGTTTATTTATTAGAATCTGCAGAAAACACATGTTCAGCTTTAGTAAAATATCATTAAAAAATGCCACATTCTAAAGAATTTCAATGAATGACGAAAACGCCCTGTAATGGGAAGTATTAAAAAAAAACAGAAGCACTAATAAAACAACAAAATTTTTGAAGGAAACGAACCAAAGACCGTCATTTTCGTTCTTTTTAATTAACATATTAAAAAAAACTGAAATTTGAAAAGTTCGAAACTCAGATATTAATACAAATACGTAAAAGTACAAATAGAATATGAGTTGTTTATTGAGTTTTGAAAACTAATTTACTTTTAAACTTGAAAGAAAATCGGAAAGGTTGTCATGGAGATATAAAGAACGTACCGTAGCGACATCTAGTTTGATTTCGGGAACTTATGTTTTTTTTAAATACTTCCTTACTAAGGAAGTCGTTGCAAACAATAACAGGTTCTGTTTACAGGCATGTGACGTCACATAAATCTGAAGCTGTCATGTCAAAACAGAGTTATTAAAGATACGCAAAATTATATTTATACAAACAATTTGTAGCTCATTTTTATAAAAAAAAACCAGTGTAGATACAAATATAAAACATATAATTTAATTTCAATATCTCTTCTCTAACACTATTTGTTATTTGTTGTAAATAAATAGTTGATAATAGGTTATGTCGTCTGGACAAATTTACCGGCAAGTGACGTCACAAATAGCACGTGATCAGCTTCATTAAATTAAATATCTCATTTTATAATCGATAATCAAAATATATTCAGTAATCTGTTAATGAATTTGTTTGTTAGCTTCACTATAAAGGTCCGATGATATGTGTCAAAAGGGACCTCATACCCCCGGTTTCAATAATATACCGACAACCATCGGTAGCAGCTACCGACAACCATTCGTTTTTGCGTTTCACAATTATCGGTAGGCGCCTACCAACTACGAACGGTTGTCGGTAGCTCATTTTTTTAAATTGTAATCATATAATTCGAGGAAAAGGGTTCTTTCCATACAGCCTTGTCTTAGGTAATATTATGATTATACTGAAATGTTGGTCTTTAACATTTAATAATTTCTTGGATAAAATCGAAATCGTAAGAAGGAAGATAGAGACATCAATAGGAAAGAGGTGAATTGATTACGTACCGAAACTAAATTTGAAATTTGTTTTGGAATTATTATGACTTATTTATTATATGGTTAGGTTCTTAAAAGTGGTGTTATTGTGAAACAAATTATCGTCTGAAATGGAATTCTGATGTAAACAAAAGAGTTACCATTACAACAAATAGCTTTAATTTATCTCTTTAAAAGTTTTTAGTAATTTTTTTACTTGAACTAAAAATCCTTTTTTTAGATAAAAATAGGATAGCAATATTTTATGCTGCAGGCAAGAAACAGCGATTCGGAACATTTGGCTCATTGAATTAAACTTTTTTTTATTTAGTATGATTTATCGTTAAAATATTTATAAATAACACGTTTTCTCTTGTTAATTAAAAGAAAAGTAACAGTTTTTCGTTAAAAAAAAATAATATTGTAGAAGAGCTTAATCTGTTTTATAGTTTAGATTAGAAGAATTTAAGTTGTAATCATGTCAATGTTTGTACCTTAAAGGGCTCTTACTACCAATTAATTATTGGTCCAGATGCTTTCTTCAATATGTTTCTTTTGAAAAACATAATGATTTACCTGTATATAATTATGAAAAACCTGGTTCTGATGAAACTGAATTTGCCACCTACTGTACAAGTAATTTTATTCGATATTGATTAACAATTTAAAGTACTTAAAATTGAAAAAGTAATGAAATTCTTATAGGCTAATGGCAACAAATCTTACATTTTTATCCCCACATTGTTATACAAAATTAGTTACACTTGAATGAGAAACCTTCTCTTTCATAGAAGTCGATAAAAAAAAGACTACATATCTTATTTCCGTATTATTATTTGCAAAAATAAAATTATAATTAGAACCTTTTGGAAAATGTTTGCAACCCCTAAAATAACATCATTTGTTTATATAAGTTTTTTTATTTCGAATTAAATTTCGGAATATAAATAAACGTGTGCAATAAACAGTTCATTGAAATGGGACGGTGCATGGTTATGAGCAGTGTTTTGTCAATTTAGTAGGTACAAGAACGCGTGTTACTTTAACATACCTCACCATTTTCTAATATATTTCAATTTTTGCTCCAAAAAAGCATTTAAAACGTCCAAGTGAACCACAATGTGAATATTGTCACTCTAGACTAGGTTGCATGTGCTATATCCCTTTGCCTTTAATTATGCCAAAAAGTAAAGTTGATTTATGTTCCGTAGAAGCTTAGCGGGAATTTTATATAGAGTTCACCTTTATTATAAATTGTTAATTGTATAAAGTGATTTGTACTATACATATTGAATTTGCAAGATAACATTTATGAATTTGACAGTGAACAATTGTGATCCATTGACATAGGATGATAAATGAATGGTTATTAGAAGAAGTGGAATGATTGTGTCAAATCGTAAAACAAACGTAGAAAAATGCAATGGAATAATGTAAAAATTATGTAGTTTTTTATGAATTGTTTTTTATTTGTAAAATAAATAAGTTATATCCAAATCGGGCTTTATTAAGAATTAAATCAATATCAGTGTTTAATAAAAAATAAAGGGTATAAACTAATGTAATGTGTATAAGTTTGGTACAAGTAGGTGGCAAATTCAATTTCATCAGAACAAGGTTTTTCATAATTATATAGAGGTAAATCATCAAGTTTTTCAACAGAAACATATTGTAGAAAGCATCTGGAGCAATGCTTACCCCCGGTTTCAATAACCAAAAAACTACCCGTTTTCCCTACCATCCGTAGCATTTCCTACCGATAGTAGCAAAAAAGTGTTTCAATAACATACCATTGGTAGGTAAAGCTACCGACGGTGTGCTACTAACGGATTGATCTGATACTGATAACCGTTCGTAGGCAAAATGTATGAAAATGGCGCAAACAGGTGTTTCAATATCTTTCGGTAGAGCTGTCAAACTTACTATCCGTAGCTTATCTATCAAATTTGCCTACCGGCCATTTTCCGTCGGTTATCGTAAAAATATTTATAAATGACATGTTTTTCCTTGTTAACTACTAGAAAAATAACAATTTTTCATTAAAAAAATAATATTGTAAAAGAGTTTGATATGTTTTGTAGGTCCAATTAGAAGAATTTAAGTTGTAATCATGCCAATGTTTGTTCCTTTAAGGACTCATACTACCAATTAATCATTGCTTCAGATGCTTTCTAAAATATGTTTCTGTTGAAAAACTTGATGATTTACCTCTATATAATTATGAAAAACCTTGTTCTGATGAAACTGAATTTGCCACCTACTTGTACCAAACTGATACACGTTACATTAGGTTATTCCCTTTATTTTTTATTAAACACTGATATTGATTTAATTCTTAATAAAACCCAATTTGGATATAACTTATTTATTTTACAAATAAAAAACAATTCATAAAAAACTACATAAATTTTTACATTATTCCATTGCATTTTTCTACGTTTGTTGTACGATTTGACACAATCATTCCACTTTTTCTAATAACCATTCATTTATCATCCTATGTCAATGGATCACAATTGTTCACTTGCAAATTCAATAAGTATAGTACAAATCACTTTATACAATTAACAATTTATAATAAAGGTGAACTCTATATAAAATTCCCGCTAAGCTTCTACGGAACATAAATCAACTTTACTTTCTGGCATAATTAAAGGCAAAGGGATATAGCACATACAACCTAGTCTAGAGTGACAATATTCACATTGAGGTTCACTTGGACGTTTGAAATGCTTTTTTTGGAGCAAAAATTGAAATATATTAGAAAATGGTGAGGTATGTTAAAATAACACGTTCGCGTTCTTGTACCTACTAAATTGACAAAACACTGCTCATAACCATGCACCGTACCATTTCAATGAACTGTGTATATTGCACACGTTTATTTATATTCCGAAATTTAATTCGAGATAAAAAAAAATAACTTATATAAACAAATGATGTTATTTTATGGGTTGCAAACATTTTACAAAAGGTTCTAATTATAATTTTATTTTTGCAAATAATAATATGGAAATAAGATTTATAGTCTTATTTTTTATTTACTTCAATGAAAGAGAAGGTTTCTCATTCAAGTGTAACTAATTTTGTATAACAATGTGGGAATAAAAATGTAAGATTTGTTGACATTAGCCTATAAGAATTTCATTACTTTTTCAATTTTAAGTACTTTAAATTGTAAATCAATATCGAATAAAATACTTGTACAGTAGGTGGCAAATTCAGTTTCATCAGAACCAGGTTTTTCATAATTATAAAGAGGTCAATCATTATGTTTTTCAAAAGGTAAATCATTATGTTATTGTAGAAAGCATCTGGACCAATAATTAATTGGTAGTAAGAGCCCTTTAAGGTACAAACGTTGACATGATTACAACTTAAATTCTTCTAATCTGAACTACAAAACACATTAAGCTCTTCTACAATATTATTTTTTAAATGAAAAACTGTTACTTTTCTTTCAATTAACAAGGGAAAACGTGTTTTTATAAGTATTTTTACGATAAATATTTTTATTTTAATGAATATTTTTATTTTATAATATTTTTACTAAATAAAAAAAGTTTTAATTCAATGACCCAAATGTTCCGAATCGCTGTTTCTTGCCTGCAGCATAAAATATTTCTATCCTATTTTTATCTAAAAAAAAAAGGATTTTTAGTTCAAGTAAAAAAATAACTAAAAACTTTGAAAGAGATAAATTTAAGCTATTTGTTATAATGTAAACTCTTTTGTTTACATCAGAATTCTATTTCAGACGATAATTTGTTTCACAATAACACCACTTTTAAGAACCTAACCATATAATAAATAAGTCATAATAATTCCAAAACAAATTTCAAATTTAGTTTCGGTACGTAATCAGTTCACCTCTTTCCTATTGATGTTTCTGTCTTCCTTCTTACGATTTCGATTTTGTCCAAGAAATTATTAAATGTTAAAGACCAACATTTCAGTATAATCATAATATTACCTAAGACAAGGTTGTATGGAAAGAACCCTTTTCCTCGAATTATATCATTACAATTTAAAAAAATGAGCTACCGACAACCGTTCGTAGTTGGTAGGCGCCTACCGATGATTGTGAAACGCAAAAACGAATGGTTGTCGGTAGCTCAAAAAACGGTCGGTAGCTGCTACCGATGGTTGTCGGTATATTATTGAAACCGGGGGTTAATTGGTAGTATGAGCCCTTAAAGGTACAAACATTGGCATGATTACAACTTAAATTCTTCTAATTGGAACCACAAAACACATCAAACTCTTCTACAATATTAATTTCTTAATGAAAAACTGTTATTTTTCTATTAGTTAACAAGGAAAACGTGTCATTTATAAATATTTTTACGATAACCGACGGAAAATGGCCGGTAGGCAAATTTGACATATAAGTTACGGACAGTAAGTTTGACAGCTCTACCGAAAGATATTGAAACACCTGTTTGCGCCATTTTCATACATTTTGCCTACGAACGGTTATCAGTATCAGATCAATCCGTTAGTAGCACACCGTCGGTAGCTTTACCTACCAATGGTATGTTATTGAAACACTTTTTTGCTACCATCGGTAGGAAATGCTACGGATAGTAGCAAAAACGGATAGTTTTTTGGTTATTGAAACCGGGGGTTAGTCTATGAAGAGCTTTATGAAGCAAAGATTTACACTATATCGAGCTGGACTTCATAACAAATATCGATATTTCAATTTCTTTCATATCGATATGTATCGATTTTCCTATAATCGTTTAATGCACACCTGTTTGTCATTGTCATTTTGACGTGATCTTTCTGTTACTGCTGCTTTGTCGATAGTTTTTATTATTACCATTGTTCCACACATTCCACAAAGTTTTGATAAATACGCCAATAGTTGATTTAAAAGAAGACTATTAAATATTTTGCTTTTCCTCGTATTTGTTTCTTTCAAAAGAACATTTATATGAAGATATAGGTCACGTAAGTAACCTCCGCTATACACATTTTTCATATTTAACGGTTGAGATCAGTGGCTTTTCTGTGTGATAAACGTGATTTAACATTGGCAATATGTATTGATCAATTAAATAATCTCTAAGTATCCCTTAACTGATAATGACCGTTATACAATAGGTCTTTCAAGTGACCGCTCCGCAATAAAATACGATTTTGCAAATTCCTGACTGCGCCTCAGAAGATGTTCTCAATACCTGTTAACGTATATTAGCAGTTTTGCGTCAAACTAGCTTCTGTATTGGTTGCCAGAGGCCTTAGTCTGCCGCAATCCTGTTCTCTCTTCGCTGGTCTCATTGCACGGCTTTAACATGGTGATTGTTGTAATGAAAGTCTACAGCCAGTGATGGATAAAATCCAACTGTTGTTATGCATTGGTATTTTAATGCTATCACTATTTGTGGACTATCTTTCTACAACTATTGGGCTTAGATGGTTTGTCACTGACCTGTGATACATGTAGAACTTTTTTTATCACTACAACTGAATAGGTAAGGAATGTAGGTGGTATGAGCAAAAATATGAAATTAAATCTTCTGGCTTCTGTAGTCTTTATTGGTATTATATTTTAAAATTTTATGTTTCATCCTAAGCTTTTGTCCTTTTATGATTAGGTTTAAATTTGGCTAGCTTAACTTTAGGTACCTTAAACTGTTATTTTTGTCTCTTTTTTTGCCTTAAGTTTTATAACCAATAAGAAACAGGAAGTTTTCTAGTTGACACATATTATTTTAACTCTTTAATCATTACTTAAAGAACTTTCTTACATCATTGAATATACAGAATGATTTATTATTGATGTGGTTTTCCAACAACACATGCATAAAACATCATGATGCTGTTTTAGTGCCCTTTAAATAAAATTTTAATGTTCAAGATTTTCATTAAATACATTGTTGTACATTACACTGTTTGGTATCTACTACAGAAATATTTGCAGAGCAATACTACACTGTGCACATCATAAGATATTCTAACTAAACCATACAACAAATATGCTCATATTCCAAATATGTTGTCTAAATATTTAGGTATTGTCATAGGTTTTTTTTCACCTTGATATAAATCACCTAACTACCACATTATATCAATTATTAGGAACCACCTAATAATATAAAACAATGTTTAAAGTTATGACTTGTGTTATGTGGCACCTTTGCTAGGCATTTTCGTAATGACAGATCACAAATTGTGTCAAGGGATAAAAGAAAAAATGTTTATTTGAATTATACTTCACAAGATTAGGTGTTTGTTAGTTAAGCTATGCCTTATTCTAGGTTAGTGAAAACAGGTATTACTTATATATATTGCTTTTAATCTTCCCTATTATTTTCATTGTATACTAATGGATTGATAATAAAAATAAATAGAATTATATTTTGGATGACACATCTCCTTTTTTGAAATAACTAACTACCAATTAGACACTTTTGAAGCTGATATGATTATGATAAGTGAAACTTGAATTATTATTACTGATATGATAATAGAAAAATATTCTAAAAGACTTCATGTTTAAACAATAGGCTTTTTTCAGTCAGTTTCATGCAATAGGACTATTATTTCTATTATATTTGGAAAAAATCAATGGTATAAATACAGATCAAACATTAAAAAGAGCATATTAATCAGTTAAGTTTCCACTAATAGTGTATAAAAGAAGTCAATTGTTAAATTATTACTTAGATTTCATCATCAATAATAAATTTTATCAATAATATTAAACTGGATTTGGATGTGGACATATTTTTAAGATATTATTGTTAGAATACATTGTTTCAAACATTATTTATTTTGTATTACTAAATAAACATGAGTAAGAATTGAGAAATAAATCCTTGGATCTTGGATCCACCGAAATATGATTTTTTTGCCAACAAAGTATTTTGAGCACAAAAAAAAAGAAGAGGCAGTCTATCAAAGAAAAATATTCTGGGATGATGAGGATTTTCCCTTCAGTATTGTTTTACAGATGGGATATGCTGGGATGAGTTGATGCATTGTTGTTCACTTATTTTGACTTTCACATCCTAATTGATAGAATAGAGTATTCTTGCATATTTTTATTGTTAAGATCTTCATGATCTGTACCTAATACCAAATAAAATATATAATACAAAGTTGGTAACCATAAAATGAATCACAATATGACAAAATTGCTGATAATAGTCAAGTTTGGACAACCTGATGTGCTGTTGACTGTTCATGATCACATTTGTAATTGAATTTTAAATTGATCAATTTTGATGTATTCAAAATGCTTAAAAAATATCTTATGGTACATAGACTAGTGATTTATTTTTTAAAGTTAAAAGAAAAAAAATGCCAGTTCATTGAAGCAGAGTTATGTTTTATTATACCAATAAAATAACTTTGGTTGCACTTCATTCACATTGTATTAATGGAGATGGTGGTTATGAGGAGTATCGCATTTTGTGGTAAAAACCAATTTGTTGAAGAATGGAGTGGGACGGCGCAGAGCGAGGTGGCGTCAGCTTGCAATATTTATCGGGCTTCACACAGTGTCTGTATTTGACTTAATTTCATTTGAGACTAGATCATCTGATTCAAACAAAATCAATTCACCATTATCACCGTGCTGCTCGATTTAAGATGCGGCACCCAGCTGTTAACAAAGCGGATAATTCATTAAAATCAATATTTTTTTATTCTATTTCTTCTTTTTTAGAATTGGTCATTACTGAAATCCCAGATTTATGTTCATTTTTGACCTCTTGCAACTGAGTTTATTTAACTGAGTTTAGCATTTAGGTCCTGGTAACCCCACCCATACAGCTTCCTCCGTTCCACCCCGTTCCGCTTCATGTCGTAATCATCTGATGGTCATTCTTACTTTGGTTAATGTATTTTTTAGGTAGGTAGGTAAAATGAGTATGGATACGCAAGAATTTGATGTTCCACCTGCAAAGAGAATTAAAGCAGACAATTTAAATTCTGAAGAAACAGATAGAAAAAATGAAGATCTAACCAAGAAAAGTACAGATCTGACAAATGATTCCAAGTATAGTAACTTTGTGACTCCAGAGGAGCTCGAGAAGCTTAAGGAATTCAAAGTACTGGACGAGGTCAAATCAAATGATGAAGACAGCAACGATGACAGTGACAGCTCTGACGGTACCCAGTCAAACATTATGTCATATCATAACAAAACATTTGGCTTACGTTAAAGTTACAAATTTATTGTGATTTATTGTGATCTTTATGAGCGTTTGACATTTACTATTTTTAAGGCGCAAATTGAAGACGTAGAATAATTATTTTAGGTAAATCAGAAGTTCCCGAAGAAGAAATAGAAAAGATGTTAGAAGAGGATCTGCCTGAAGGTTTCAAGGGTGCCCCTCAACCGAAGGAGAAGCCCTATGTGACAAGGCAGAAAATAGTGCTCGAAGGTAAGGCGGTATGATAACACTGAAGGTTGGCGTGTATGGTTTTTATTCGAGAGTAGCGGCGGGGGATGAATACTTCGTTACACATGTGTGTAGTGAAGTATTTATAGGGTTCCGTAACTGAATGGCAAAAAATGGAATCTTTTTTTGCCAATTTATTTCTGAAACTATTACAGCTGCTATACACGGGGCAGGTGGCATGATCACGCAGGTACCCTCACAAGTCGGCGATACACACTTCAAACTTGGTACTGAAAACAAAAATTTATTTTAATATTCAAACCTATACTAACGTACGAAGTGTCTGTAGATAGTTCATTAAAATTACATTTTAATAAATATTGAGGTTTTTACAACCGTTTTTTAGCATAAATGTTGCAATGACGAGACATGTATAACATGAAGATTTTTGATATTTGGACTTGTCTATCAATATTTACCGTGTCCCCAAGGTAAACCCTAAGATTTACCAAGTATGACTGTTGAAATAAACAACGATCACAGAACAGTCTGACCTTTCGAAATCTCAGGCTTTACGGGAAAATTTAAAAATTTACCTACTTTGATCTTTTACAGTAACATATACAAGAACAGAAATAACTTTTTAAAAATCAATCTGTAATTTAAACTTGGATAAATATTTTTTTATTAACGTAGTGGAGGGGTGCAATTCGGACTGCAATTTAAAAATTATTCACCGAATATCTTGCAAAATAATGATTATTTATATTTTAAAATTAATAAACAAAAATACAATTTTCCAATATTTTTAGAAATACCAATCAGAACGCGTGACTTCATTGGTGGGTAAATTGGTAGTAAAACTATCTATGGAAGCCGGAAACATTCAAAGTACAAAATAATTTAAATTATTTTTAACAAGTGATGGGGGTCAGTTTACTGTTTTATTTATTTGTGAGTTTAAATATAAGTCAAAGTCAAAATAATCTTTATTATAATATTTATATATATCTATATATATGATATATAGCTTTATTAAAGTACTTTTGAATCGTCCAACATTTTTTCCCTACCCGACGGACCCAATTCAGGACGTATTTTGGCTGATAAAAAGAACGAGCAAGAAACTCACCAACTCTAATGGGAGTTACGACATTCACAAAACTATGTCATTACCAGATCAATACATTACTAATAGAGAAAAAGAAAACTATGATTTTATAATAATACATAATAATTTAACAATGGCATCAAGATAATTTTGAGGTATAATTAGTTTAGAAGAAATAATCTATCTAGTTGCTAGACCATTTTAAGTTCAAGCATTCTTTTCTGTTATATAATCAGATACCTTATAATAAGCTTTTTTTAATAGTAGATTTAATCTGCATGACATCTTACGAAATAAGGCAAGTCATTTATGTAAATTAAAAACGAAGGATCAAATATCTTATCTTTCGATAGATAGAATATAAAATCTAACTTGTTTTCTCTAAATCCATCGTAATCAATGTTTCGGTAAAAATACAATCAAATGCCTTAGGTCACATAAAACACCTAAAGCGTCATTGTGAATCTTCCTAGGCATCAAAAATTTGTTGTATTAACTCGACACTGGCTTCGGTTGTTGAGCAACACCTTGGTAAACCCAAATTGATGTCGATTCATAAGGTTATTGTTGTAAAAAAAATGTTTGCAATTTATCTAGTATGATTATTTTAAAAATCTTACTAAACGTAGGTAGTCTAAAGTAAGTGGGTTCAGATATGCTACCCGATTTATGGAAAGGAATAATTTTAATACTTATATTTCATGACCTCAGGGAAAATGCCACAATCAGTACATTCATTAAATATATTTAGTGAGGATTGGAGCTATTGTCTCAATTACCAATTTGGAAACGTCAATGGAATTACCCCATAAATCAGCAGCTTTTTTTTCTTTGGCTGATTAAAAGGTTTAATTGTGTCTTTAAAATTAATGCATTGAAAGTTAAATTGGCTACTACAATTATTAAATTTTGCCTTTAAAATAGATTCAGCAACAGTAGAAGAGGAATTCACAGATTGTGTATTTAAGACAGGAATTTCAGTAAATAAATATTCAAATTCTGTAGCAACTTCTAGATCTGATATTACTTTATGACTATTAATATTTAAATTAGTATTCTGGATTTCTTCTCCTCCAATTTGATTTTTTTTTAACTTTAACTCTACTTTTTTATTTAAATAATTGCATTTGTGTAAACTTCACACTTTTTTAAATAATTAAAAGTAATTTCGCACATATTCTTTGAAGTCCTCACTAGTGTTATAATTACGTTCATCATATAGTTCATAGAGCCTTTTTCTGCTTTTGTAGATTCCAGGTGTAGCCCACACACTAAAAGTTATAGAATTACTATGCATTATTATTTAGAGTATTTTTTGGGACAAAAATATTATTGATAAATGTCATTGATAATAAACATCAAAGAAATCTTTGTACGAATCATTGGGATTACTTTTATGTTTCAAATGATACAATTTATTATCTAATTGATATTTAAAACGTTCCAAAAGACTGACACTTTTTGGCACAACTGTGATGCCTCTCCTAGCTACAAAAGTGCATTTATGCGGAAAGCTATTTGTCCAAAATGATCTGAAGGTAGTTGTTTGATTATCTGTTTTGAAAGTGGTATCAGATCTGTAAAAATGTTGTCAATACACGTGGACGACGTACCGGTTAGTGGGCTCTTTAAACATATGTTCAAGATTATAGGACATAAATAGATTTGTAAGTCTTGTACACGGAATTTCCTATTATAATTTCCGGAATTAGAGTTTCCTAATAAATCAACGTTAAAATCACCACCAATCACTAATCGGCTGTCTTAATATATACCTCTTTTAAAGCGAGAAGCAAGTTTATATGGTCGAGCTCTTTCAGGCAATCTCGATTATTTCTTCAACCGATAGGCTCACTATATCTTTGTTCTTTATATTTAAACTTTTTATTTAATAAAATAAATGCACCACCACGAAATGATTTTTTCCAATGAACTAATTAATTTTTTCTTTGAAAATTCCTTTTGTTTATCCCAAAAAAGACGTCACATCCTCCGAGTCGCCGTTTACGCGGTTATTTCAAACATTAATTTGAATCACAGTTCCGGGTACATAATGAGATTTAGTTACATAAAATAACATTTTTTTTTGTGGGAATAAGAGCCCACAATGATTAGTTTAAAACAGTTTTCAGAAAGTTGTCTGTTGTGACCCTAAACTGTGTAGGGAGCCGCATTAATTATATTAACACAACAAATTAGTATTTAAAATATTAAAATTGTATACCTCTTTCATATTAATGGAATGTTATGTTGTATATATCGATCGGTACAGAGAAGGGTGTGAACTACTGGGAGGTGCTGCCCCTGGACTGGATGATGGTGAGACATTACAGTGGTATGCCCGTATACATGCACCGGACCACCAGGGTGTGTACACTGGCCAGGCCTTACTTCCTCGGGAAGGGCAACGCAAGGGTAATTATTACAACCTGTTATTTCTTAGCTGTAATTACTATAGAACTTTGTCGAACAATCAAAAGTTACTTATACAACTGTGGGTATTGTAGGGGTAAACTACACTAAAATGATAATTGATAATATAAAGAAAAAAAGTATCACTGATTTCATATTTAAGTATTATGTAAAATGTAGTGTACAAACTGTAGGTGTGTATAAACTGTACAAAATAGGTCATTAATCTTCGGGTATAGTTTAATTAGTCAAAATATACTTATAGACTTTTTATTCTATTCTCTGGTGTTAGTATGTTAAAAATAAAATATATGATAATGTTTTTTTTTTCTATAACTATGTTTTCCCTCGAGTTCATTTACCTGAAATATAGACTGTTACCCCCGCGTATGATGTATTTAACTTACCGTAGATTAAAGAATTTTTAAAATTAGGCCAGTATTTTCGAGGCCTATTCATTGCAAACAAACAAATAAAAAACGATCAAGTCTTACCTCTTTTTAATAATAATATTATTTATTTATTAGGCACCAAAATACCGATGTACATAATGAGCTGAGCTTAACATATATCAATTTAATTAGCCTCTACTGTTAAACTGAGCTTATAACCCGTCATTCAGCATAGATTGACAGTACAGTAACAATATTAAAATATGAACTGATTACAAAAAAATGTAGTACTAGTACTCTCTGTAGGATTTTTTTGTCTTTTAACTTTAACTGAGATAAATTTCACCATTAAAATTGAATGAGATATATTATTTCAGCGCCATGATATACCCATAAGCGCAATACCCTGTTTGTCATATCGAAAAGCACTAGAAGAAGAAAGAAAACAAGAAGCCATTGATAGGAAAATTGAGGAACATATTAAGAATGGCACTTGGATGATCAATTCAATAAATAACAAACCTAAAGAAAATGAAGTTAATATTAAAGCAAACGACACTGACAAGATAATTGAAAACCACGATAAAACTGATAATATAGTCAATGACCATACATCTACTGGTGGTCAAGTCGAAAATAATGACAAAACTTTAAATTTAACTGATATTGATAAAACCAATTCTACATCTGATGAAAATATACCTGAAGACACTTGTAATAATGGTTTACTTTTAGAAAAATCGACTAGTAAAACAGAAACTTTAGCGAAGTGTCCATCTTTTAATTTTAATGATCAAAATGCTGCAGGAAGTAATCTTGAATCAGTGTGTCCTGTTACAGGGAAGAATAATTCTGTAATAAATTATGTGACAGTTATGGATAAAAGTGCACAAAGTGAAGTAACCTTAGGAGAATGTAATGCTACTGATAAATATAATAATAGCATAGAAGAGTGTAATGCTCCTGATAAAGGTGCACTCAGTACAGGGGAACCTATTGCTGAGATGTCTGAAACTATTGAAGGTAACGCTGATGCAATTGAAGGTAATAAAGAAGAAGGAAATGAAACTATTGACGATGTGGAGTTACTTAAATATAGACAACCGGTGGTGATGCCAGGCGGAGTGGTGATGCCAGCGCCCAAAGTTGAGACTGTCAACACCAGCTGGAAGACTCAGCATTTGTCCCATGAACAAGTTAACGATTACTGCAAAAAGCTGTTCAAGTTTAAGACAATCAACATTATGCATTTCAAGTGAGTAGACTGATATTCTGTCCACTGCATTGATGGTTTATGTAGTAATGAAGACTGGTGTTTTTTTTTCAATTGTTGTCATTGGGATAAATATGTTATGTTTTGATATTACTACTATTTTCGTTTGGCATCAATATTCAAGCAATCCACCCAAACAGCTGAAAGAAATATTTTAAACTTTCGATAGATGAAAATGTGTTCTAATTATTTAATGGTGAAAATACGCTCTGTAGCAGCGGAAAAGTAACAAGTGCTTGAATAATCTTAAGTCCTGTTATGTCCTAATCCTAAGTGGTTAGAGCACTCGCCCGTGTTACTAAAGGTCGTGGGTTCGAAGTCCATGTCAGAGTACCAGGGACAAGGTGGATTTTTAAGTATTTTTAATTAAGATTTTTTTGCAGTATAGTATTTTAATGTAAAATTGATCAAACATAATAATAGGCATTAATTGTTGTATTTAACATTTCTCGTCATAATTTTTAGACATTAAGAATTCGCTCATACCCACGTAATAAGTAATTAAAGTAATCTAAAAATAATCGATAACTGATACAATAATGTATAATTTTACATTATTGTAATTGTTTGTCTTGTATGTAGTTATTTAAGTAAGGTCAAACATGGTATTGTTTGGTGTGTGGCAGCCGATGGGCGGACCGGCGCAAGTACAACAAGGCGCGCAAGACGCTGCAGTACCCCACGCTGCCCGACGGCACCAAGCTCATCACCCTGCCCGCCAGACCGAACGGACAGGACAATGGTAACTAATTCTGGTTCAAACACAACGGTAACGGTATAGATGACAATTTTACGACCGCTTGTTTTGCGCACACTGACATTTATTAGTTTTTTTTCTTTACAAATATATAGTATTCCAAAAAGTATAGTTATGTAAAATCAGGGAGTAAAGTAAACCTAGCAAAAAAGCTATTTACACAATGGAGCGCAGTTGGTCGTGAACAGTAAAGATTAAATCAAAATATTTATTTTTTAATTTTCCTAACACACTCAAACATATGGTTTTTGAACGAATAATAAAAATGGATTTATACTGTGATAAAATTATAATTTATATTCATAAGGATTCGATTTAGGCAAATAAAATTATATTCACCTAAGTAAATTTTGATTTAACAAAAAATATGTTACATGTTATTGTTATGGTCACTAGTTACTTTATAGAGAGATGACGACTGTTTTAAAAAAATAAATTCTATTAAGTCCGTCAGTTAGATAATAGAAAAATATTAGATACGTATTACTACGCTCAACGTATCGCCCTAATATATTGACTACGAAAAAAACAAAAAGATTAGGAGACATTTATTTTAAAGAGAGGTTTTTTTGAAACATGTTAGTAAATAAAGTATCCGAACAATCACTAACGATCGCAGGCGGGAAGCCGGTGAAGCACGACTGGTTGATGAACATGGACGGGCGCAGCTACCTGTCCGTGTTCCACGAATACGTGCACCGCGCCCTGCAGAAGCAGCCCGTGTACAAGTTCGTGCAGCTCGGTGAGTAGCGCTGGCGAGTGTACACTGTACACAGTCGCACGCAGTTCACGAGTGTACAGTGTAAGGTGTGGTGCAGAGAACGCGGTGAGCCCGTACCAGGCCACGGTGTACATCGGCGGCATGCAGTACGGCGTGGGCCGTGGCTCGTCCAAGCGGCAGGCCAAGGCCGCGGCCGCGCGCGCCTCCGTGCACGTGCTCATCCCCGAGATGCGCGACCACGAGCGCCCCCCCTCCTCCGCCTCCGCCTCCGCGCCCGCCGAGCCCGCCGAGCCCGACTTCTCCGTGAGTCGCATTGCTACTTTGGGGACGCGTCTTTTGCTTTAAACAGATAGATAGACTCAGAATATATATAAAACACCCAGACCGATACCAACCAAATACAAAACCACCAAATAGAATACGAATCATTATTCAAATTTTTGGTTGAAAAGTAGTACCATATATATGTATATGCTGTCTTAGAATATCAAATATTTGGCCTTGTGTATTTGAATGACCGCCATGTTGGCGCTAGGTTTGGGTTAGAAACAAGACTCGGTTATTTTATTGAAAATATTTTGATTACTAATATTATTATTATAAACATTGTAAAATCACATTTACAGCCTGTAAATATGTTATTCCAACAGATACATTTTTATTCGGATAGTTATATTTGCAGTTTTAATATGCACTGTGACATCGTAATATGTTCGGACGTTGGCGCCGTCGCAAACAAATTAAATCAAAATAAGACCGCACTTTGAAGTGAGGCGTGAGGCTTCAGCCATCTTTGAGACTGACCGGACATCTAGTTGTATTTTTGATCGAAAGATACAAAGTACAAAAGTAATGTGCCGCCATTATTGTTCTTAAAAAATAATTAAATCTGATTTATATATTTTTTTTCAAATCGGGGACGTCAGTTTGCTGCGATATTGAATTCGATATAGAGTTTAAAGTTAAAAATATATCAGTCCAGATTGATTATTTTTGAAGAACAACAATGGCGGCTCTGACGTATGGCATTGTTCTCTGTGTGGGCGGTCCAGTTCTTCGACTACGTGGGCATCGAGGACCCGCGCATCGCGGAGTTCTGCGCGGCCACGTGCGAGCCCTCCCCGCACGCCATCCTGCGCACGTGCCTGCTGCGGAACTTCGGCGCCAGCGACCGCCACATACACACGGAGGTGCCCACTGTTGTCTGTTGCACGCTGCTCGTGTTGTGTCCTTGGCCGTTGGCCGAGTGTACACGTAAAAGGGAAATACGATTTACAAAAACCGAACCCGTTATTCTGCTCTATTCGATGAGGCAAAATTATTAATATATTTTAAGTCAGACGTCGAGTACGCCGAAGGCAAACGTGAAAGGGCCTTCGGCACCTTCGGCGTTCTCGATTTCCGTTTAAAAATTGCCTTAGATAGTTTTCCGTTCTCAGATGAAGAAGTTGGAGTTCCAGAAAATAGAGTTGACGATGAAAGTCGGCAAACACACCGCGACTGTGATCTGCAAAAACAAGAAGACTGCGAAACAACGCGCCTCGCAAGCGATCCTGCAGGTGAGCTACAATTATACGTCACCGATTAAATAAAAAATATAAACTAAACGAACTATACGAAAACCGTTACATCTCTCTACGAGTTCTCTTTTCTTGATGCAAGCAAAGTTCAATCTTGCAAAATTACTGTAAATATCTTTGCAGTGAGATACCTAAGATACGTTTTTACATTATCGAACATAAGTTTCACGGTGTGGTCACCGGACACGACTGCGGTGATTCGATATCGATATCTGCAGGCCACTGGTTCTCTTATAGTGCTTATTCATCTCTCTAATTAGCTCCTCTTTTGCGATTGCTATCTTTTCGTCATGGTATGCCTCCATTACTCCGTCACTCGACTACCGGCGTTTGTTGTTCCCGTCTTATGGTATACTTCCCATTATTTTTTCCATCGTCCTCTTCATTTTCTCCGTATTCACTTCTATCCATTCTTCCATTTACTTATTGACGCTTGAGAATACTGTCACGTATTCTCCACACTGTCCAGTCAAAGATGATGGAGGTAATTTTGTCCTTCGCATCTCATTTGGCGACAATGTATGCGGCTTATCTCTTTCTTTAATTGAAATTTCCAGTTTCTCTCTTCTCTTAATCTATCTATCGAGTCTTATAAACAAACCTTATCAATATTATCTTAGAATATTAATTTTGCCAAAGCGGGGACCCAACGGGACCCAATATATAAGCAGTATCATGTCTAGATAAAATAATGGAAACGGACGCCGTCGAAGGAGATATATCATTTGAACGTTATGGATATTCCATAATTAAAACTGACGTTTAGCGTAATCGAGTCATCTATAAAATAAAACGCAACCGCAGGCGCTCCACCCGCACGTGAGGTCGTGGGGCTCGCTGCTGCGGCTGTACGGCTCCCGCTCCGTGAAGAGTTCCAAGGAGAAGAAGCTCGAGGAGCAGCAGATCACGCTGCTGCAGGACCGCGCGCGCCACAACCAGCCCAACCAGGCCGTGCTGGACAAGCTGCGGCGGGACATGCGCCGCCTGCGGGACAGGGACGCCGCCATCGTGCCCATAGGTAAATGCGCGTGCGGGACAGAGACGCCGCCATCGTGCCATAGGTAACTGCTCGTGCGGGACAGGGACGCCGCCGCCATCGTACCCATAGGTAACTGCTCTCGGCCGCCATAGCTCACGCGTGGGTATACTGGCAGATCGGATGGAGGCAGATCATCAGGTCATACCCCGATGCTAACCACAACCGAGACTTGTAAATAGGTAGTAGACATAATGTGATAAATAGTATTTAAATTAAAAATAACCAAGTTTCGTTTAAATGTAAAATACGGAATATTATATGGTGATATATTACTACCCTCAGGTACTTTACTTCTGGAAGACGATCTGCCGACTCACTCGGGCTCCAACCTTAACAACGTGGACCTGTGACCTTCACCCCCCCAGAAAAACGAATACTTATAAGGTTTTTAAAATTAAAATTAGTTTTATTCAAAATATTCTCAAACTTTTATTAAAATATATATAAGCGACTTTCTCGGGCTGATTATAGGATGGTAAAAATCTCGAGTTCCCCTGCCCCGTTCGACCGCTGTTCCGGGTTTATCTACAGTTATTAACGCCCACCAATCCGTACGGGGGGAGGGGGGATTCCGGCGAATTTCCCTATGTGATGCCGTCGGCGGTTTGAGACTTATATTGAGAAGGGTTGTGAAAATATATAGTTGGTCAGTTATTTTGTATTTGAAACGATATTGATTAAGCGCACACGGTAGTGGCTTTAGTCGTTATGGACTCGATGGCGATGTCTTATTGTACGTTTGGACGTGGATATTACTAGCGATTTGATACATCAACAATCATATCTAGAGATGGGTTATCGGCTTTTTAAATCGTGTAACGTAAAAACTATCAATTTTTAACAACTATACTCCATTCATTATAGTATTAGACAGAAGTGAAATAAGGTTCTTTTTATGGTATACTTTGTGACAAAATATCAATAATCATGTTACTTTTAAGACTGACGGCTAATTTGCTACATAATCACTTAAATATCAGCTGCTATACTTAACTGTTGTCATTTAAGCTAACTATTTAACAAATTTATGAGTATATGACTAACTTAAATGATTTAATAAGTATTACAATAAAAAATGTCCATCGTAAAGAACCTAAAGAAGCAGGGTTGGATAGTTTCGGCACGATTGTCATTTCACTATAACTCTACCAAATTTAAAACGTTGCCTAACCCCTTCAAGCGTTTCGGTAGTACAGCTTTTTAATTTTGTCAGACTATTATTTATTCATAATCGTTAAAATCGTATTCTAGGATTATCATCCATTGTTAATGCTACTGCCTTTCTTGTTGTTTAGCCGTTTTCCGTGATGTTATTGTTTTATTTTTGTTGTTAAGTTTTGGTAAATATGGACGATTCCGGTACAGGCCCGAGTGGCCTACAAAAATTACGCTCTAAGCCCCCATACCTACCCTTAAACTTTGACATTTCAGGGAGTTTTTCCAATGTCTTCATCAATAGTCTAACTTATTACACTTACAATTAGAATTTATCAAAACACACAGATTGTTTCAGTTTTAATTCCATGTTGGCTTGGGACTAAAAGATGAATTTATAAAATGCTGGCCTCATCTCAACCCCTAGGTATCATAAAAAATGGAAAATTGCCCAGCTCTTTCAGACTACCTAAGGTTCAAAGTTTCAACAAAACTAATATAGATTTTTTAAATTTATCTTGAAAATAAAATGTTCTGCACCGCTGCGTCTATGACCCTTTTTTTTCTAATGTTATAGTGAATGGAGTATAGTTATTTGCACAACGCTTTAAAGTTAAAGCAAATTTTACTCTTATGCAAACGCGGTAACCCTAGAATTTAACTTGGTTACTCGATCTCTCAGAAAACCAAATACGTGGAACGTACGAACATATACCTGCTTCATTCACATATCACGGGTTTCATTCTATAAGGCTATTGAAATTGCATTACATGATCGTCAATGTAAAACGATAACCTCTTACAGATGTCTACGTATCGCTACGAAATCTGATCGCGGATATTGTAAAGCGAGTCGCCCAAACATGGACGTTATGTGGTTTACATACGAGTGAATTTGGCTGTACTGTAAAGTGTTATGGAATATAGTTATTGTTTCAGAGAATCACGAGTGAATAACTATAAATAATATAGATATAAGTTGCTGCTAGTTGAAATCCAGATATAGAATAAGACATCGCCAATATGTCGCTGCTAAAAACGCCGTCTTGTGTACACTACTTTACGCGTTATTGTATGTGCGAAAAGTGCGTTACAAACAGCTCCATCGCAATATGGATAACTTTAGAGATTTAACCAATACCGATGTACTTATATTAAAAGTTAAAAGCTTGTTAAAAATGTTTTCTGTTTCCTATTAATTTCTATGGAATATTTTCACACTTTCTTTTATTAATATCAATTATTTAAGATAACAAAATCTTTAATATATTACCAGCTATTTATCTGCTACTTAGCTGCGTAAATTAAAGTCTATGTCACCCGCGTATAATGTATTTCATCGTAGCTGCAAGGATTCTAAGGAGCCTATCAAAAAAAAAAAAAAAATCTAATATCACCTCTTTAAAATATTAGTATAGAACCTTCAATCAACAATGCAACTAGTTAACGCCTCGCCTAATTAAACAAATACTCAAATACGGCACCGTACACTGCGACAACCAAGGAGCATAATACCACAGAATATATTCTGTGATAATACTCCAGGCAACAATTGAGCTCCGGAACTGGGCAAGTATTGAGCCGCGTTGCCAATTTTATTTTTCTTAGTAAAATATATGTTGAATGTCAGGGACCGGACAGCAATTAGATAAAAAAATTAATTGGGTGTAGTTAAGAAATTCACAAAGTTTGAAGATTGTAGGTAAAAGTGCATTCAATGTGCAAAATGATTTTATGGATCCACATGATGATTTTTTTTTGTAAAAAAAAGTAATAGTACACTACTCTATGTATGTGCTGTTTTAGAACATCGAATATTTGTTCAAATGTTGCCATGGTGGCGCGTGGGTTGGCTCAGAAATTATTGCTGTAATTAATTGTAAAACCACATTTATACTCCGAAAATATGATATTCTAACAGATACACTTTCTTTCCGATAGTTATTTTTACAGTCTTAATACGCACTATGGCATCGTAACGCGTCCGAACGTTGGCTCTATCGCAAACCAAATAAGACCTTACTCAGGAGTGGGGTGGTATTTTTTCGGCCATTTTTGAGATTCGTACATTTTTGAGCGCCTTTTTGAGTTGTATTGTTGATCGAAGTATAGAACTGAACTAAAGATATAAATAGCTAGAATCAATGGATTTATATGCCAAATTTACATAAAATGCCACATAATCATTATAAATAGTTATATATAAAACAATATGAACTTATAGAGGTTATGAAGAATATTCGTAGAAAATTTATGTAGCACCACTAAAATGTCTATTTTTTGGATGCGCCGTCTTCTTATCTCGATAACGGTCAATATATGTTACATGTAGGTATTTAAGTAAAAAGAAAATCACCTATGCTATTAATCTTGGAAATTAGATGAATCAGTGTTTGTAAATTTGACTTCTTTGAGCTTAATTAGCGTTTAGATTATAGATGTTAAGATTAAATGATTGTAAGGTATCGAGTTGTCATTGATTGATCACGCGTGAACTGAATTATTAAGAGTTTATATTTGTAAACTTTAAATTTGATTTTATTTGCGAATAGTCATTGTTACAAATATAAATATGTTAGTTTTAAGCATACTGATGGTTGTTAGGTATTCTTTTAAGTAAAAAGGGTCACGTGAAAATATTTATAGTTAAAATAAAATTTATTATTTTATTTTGAATGTAAATATTTTCGATAGCTATTGGCCGTTATAAATCAAGAAAATGTAAGTGAGGAGCCTATGAAGAAAATAGTGAATGATAGTTATGGTGTTTATGACGTCACTCTCTTAGCTTCTCGCATATGATTCCTCTTCGTATGACAGCTCTAGGACCAAATAGTGTTACTACGCGAAGCCAAGTGTAGCGAGGTCATAGTATATCGTGTCTAATGTATTAATAAATTATAAAAAAATAAAATATAAAACTGCCAAATACCTATATTGTGTTTCATTTGCATCATGAAACTATTGTAGAAATTCGACCAAAAATGTTTTATTAACAAGATAGATCAATTCGTTTATTTGCATCACAAACACGCGTGTCTGTAAGAGAAATACAACATTACTACTACTCCAACATTATTAAATGAAAGTAAATTAAACCACAAGTACAAGTTATGACATATGTAAAATTTATAGCGCGCGATACAGCGACGCAAATAGGCTAAATCTCGATGAATACTGATTTTCCACTTTCGTCTGGTTGCAGGACAAGTACAACGAAAGCGACAGCAACCATTTCCTACTTATAATTAACAAGCAATAATAAAATTGAACATTAATTTGAATAAATTTATAATTTAATAAAAATTTGTATGACTTAAAAATGTAACCCAAAAATGAATAAAATATTAAATTGAAAAGATTAATTAGGATATAAAATTTAATTGTCAAATTACCCAAATGCATTAGAATATGTAATAAAAACAAGTAAAAATAAAAGATTTTTACAACAAGCTTTTATTTGGTGAATTGTATTCTACAAGTTATGCACTTTCATTCGATACCCTATTGGGCGGGTTGTTCATGAAATACGTATGTACACCGCCATTTTGTTACGGCGCCCATTTTGTATTAATAGTTTTAATACCGATTATATATAATTTCACTGTCGTCAGAACTATATGAACGTATGTTTTTATGTGTTAATTTAATGTATTTTTAGAGTATTAAAAATATACATATTCTGCACTTCTCCATGTAATAATATTAAATTATATGCTCCTCTGTCTGCTAAGTTTCGTAAAAAGGGGGTGTAAATATTTTCACTTACTTATTACCTTTCACAAGTAGTAATTGTTATCTATTTTAGCAAAAAAACTTGACGTATTTTTAGGTCTCCCGCTGGTTTAGTCATTCATAAATGAATACTGTGCGTCTAATTTAGAAGAAGGGCAAAACAAAAAATACACCAAGTACATATTGGCATCATATCACCATATTTTTGCAGTTTATGATTTTTTCTTTTATTTCAATTAAGGATTTTGAAGCACGTCCGTCCCTTCGTAGCCTGTAACGTGTTTTAACTGTAAGTAGGTATTATATGATGATGATTTTGGCGCCCCCCGGCACTGGCGCGCGGGCGAGTGCTTACTCCCCCGCCTAGAACCGGGCCTGGCGATCTGCGGAATATGGTGCGATTCTGTTACGTCATCAATGAAACACAAATTAATTTATAATAAAATTATATTAAATAAATTTTCATTTTATAGTCTTTTCCAACTTAAAATATTATAAAATTATAACTTTATCAACAATAAAAGAGTAACTTAACTTAAAAGTAAACTTAAGAGTATTCACGGGACGGAAATTTAAGATTTAAAACTAGTTTGTACAGTAGGTATAACGCATTACGCATTGGCATTTTCTCCATATAAATGTACGTAAATGGAAATGGTAACATTGACCACGAATAAGGACGGATTATGAGCACCATCTATAGCTCGTCCGGCGTCGATTCTGCGGCGCTGTTAAATTCAGAGACATGACTTTATGTCAGTTTATTACACACAGCTTTATTGTCATTAAGATGGATTTTTTAAAACTAACAAATGTGACCGATATTTTTGTCTCTTTGTCTAAAGAATAGCTTTAAAAGAGAATAATATTTTAATTACTTACACGCTAGTTTAGATTTCCAGCGTTTTATTTTTATTCGAATCATGCGTTTTCGTGACTATTTAAAAACCTCGCACTTTGTATCGTGTGTGTTAAGGTATTCGCTCTACCTAGTCCAAGTGTGAAACATCATTTGGCTTTTTTCGTCGAAATATCTTTTTCTGTTGCTTGAGCGAGAGAGAAAGCACGTTGCTATATCCTCGAGTCGTTAGGCGAGCGAATAGCGGCTCTGAGCAACAGAATAGAATAGGACAGGGGTCGGGTCTTATGATGTAAAGCCGCGACTTTAAATCGTGTAATCGGTCTATGCTTATACCACAGAATATATATACCAAATGAAAATCTACTAGAAAGTGCGCTCGAGCAGCGCACACATAGACAACGCTCACGGACACGACGTCTTGGACCGTTTCAAACCAGTGCGAGCGCGAGTGCCTTTGGTTTAGATATGCGTCTGTGAAGTTTTTAACGGAATGAGACGACAAAAAAGTGTTATTACAACAACTATTCGATGACCGATTATTTATAAATTCAACATTAAATGGTGAAATATCGTTTTTTGAGCTACCGCATCGCAGGTAGTTACTTGTATTCCCCTATAGCAGCTTTAAGGCCTAATATGCATAGATGACTCAGTCAGCTTACTCATCTACAATTACATGAAACCCCCGTAGTGAGTTATGCTAGTGTAGTAGGTATTACAATTTTTTTGTTAGGCACATTCACGTCACCAAATTAAGCAAGTTGAAAACACATTTTTTTTTTGTGTATTACGTTTTTTGTGTAATGTGATACACGATCTTAGACTTAGATCAATGTCAAAATCATCGCAAAAGTGTTTTTTGCTACAGTAAAAATATGACATTATAATCAACATATTTTAATAATTATTAGTTTATATTTTGACGTGGATACGTCTATGTTTTCGTTCTACAGGGGGGTCATTCTGTGAGCAGGAGTATATGCACTAACGCCATCTATTGGCGAATAAGTGAACTATGTTTGCTCTGCAGGGGGAGGGGCATTCTGTCAGCAGGAGTATATGCACTAACGCCATCTGCTGGCGCTAGTGAATACTTTTTTCACTCACAAAATGAACGCAACGAATATTTATTTATTTATTGTTTAGTGTCTTCAATTTGTTATTTTTTTTTTTGAATTATTCATTTATAAATGCAATTATGCCACAACGTTGCATAATTCCGGGTTGTTTTGGAGAAGCGAATCGTTCAGTTTTTAGAGTGCCAAAGAACATTGATAGACGTGAAGAGTGGTTAAAAGCTATTCGTGATATGTTTCCTAACCTGGATGTTGGTGAAATTTTTTTTTTTTTATCAATTACTCATATATCCATTCATACATAGACGTATCCACGCATAAAATATGGCTGTATCAATGATACAGCCATATTTTTTTTCTTTTCTTTGTTTTATCCTCAACTATAAATCAAAGAACTAGATACGAGTGGCACAACTACGATAGGTTTTGTGCGGAAGCCAACGTTGACATCCTTAGCGCGGCCCCCGAGCGTAGGTATGAAAAATGAAGTACATACACTTGGTTACCTTCTGGCTTGGTGTATTCTGTGCTTATACTTAAAATTTAAATAATATCAAATAAAAATCTTTAGTGGCCCTTTAAACCAAATTTTGTAAATTATATTTTTGGCTCTTCCGTGTTATAAACATAGATTATATAATGTCAGATTAACGACCCCTAGGATATGGCGACGGAAAAGCTGTAGTTCAACCTTAAAACGAGCCTAGCTTCCTCCATATATTAGCTATTCGGCTGATAAAGATAAAGTTTCATCGACTATGAGTTTTTAAAATGTTGTAAAATAAGTATATTTTCTATTTGAATATACTCGTACATGTAGATAATTAGTCTATGATAATACTGAACACTGTATGCAATACTGGTAGCACCTTATAACATTACATTTTAGTTGATTAAAAATATTAACAATTTGTTTTATAACAATATGTTCGATGCCATCGTACAACTTAAAATGGATTAGTAATTGCTCAAGAATAACTGTGTACTAATCTATCATTTTTTAGTTATTACATACTGCTATTCGTATAAAAATCTGTTTATAGCTACTTACTTTTATTTAAGCAATTTGAAAATTGCAAGTAATTCTCTATATTATTATTTAGCATAATTTTGCAGGAAGTTGAAAATCTTACTAAATAGAATAGATGGTCGCATCAAAGCCTTAACTTTACCACGCGTCTACAGGAACGGTCCCAACACGTGACGCAAAGGGGCATTTTCGCAACTGGGTCAATAACATGGGTTCTTTATTGTATTTACACAATCAATTAGAAAGACAAGAGTGAAAAGGATACTTCTCCATCTGTCTTGTTCTACTGAAGAACGTACTATGCCGTCACCCCATAAAACCTTATTACCTTTTGGAGTAGGATCTATCTGATTGAATATTTCTGATGCGGCAGCGCCGAGCTCGACGCCCAATTCGACGCTGATTTTATTACAGAGTAGCTTAGCTATATGTGTGGCAGGGGATACAGGAGAGGCAGACGGCGAGGCGACAGCAGGGAAGGTGGGCTGGAAACAGTCGATTTCCTTTTCCATTCCGCGCTAGCTACTCTCGGGGGAGGAGAGACAGACACGGGAGCGCGATCTTCTTCTAATCGAGGAACGTTTCCTCTCACAGGCATCGAATTGTCTTGCTTATTCTTTATATAACGAAACAAAGGAAAAAGGTCACGGTTAAGCCTCTGATCGGCAGGCGAGTTTATAAGGTCGGTGCTATCGAACGGTACGTATGGAGGGAAAGGGTGATGCTGCAATCTGTGCGGTGGTCGGGGGCAGCGGGGCGATGGTGTCACGGAGCGGCGCGTCCTGTGGCGGGCGCGTCACAGCCAGCGGCGCCACTGCGGCGCGGCGCCCAGCGTCAGCGCGTTGGAGGTGCCGCCCTCTGCGCTGGGGCCGCTGGGGGGGAACCCGCCCTGCGACGGAGCAGCGGGTCATTCACCACATTGGCACATACAAGACTTCGCGATACGGTCATCCGAAACGACGAAAGGAGCACAACCCAGACACGAGAATAAATAGAAAAGATCCTTTCGCATATCGATCGTCGGGAATCGAACCCGGGGATACGGAGACGATTTCAATTCTCACTTTACGCTCGACGATGCCGTCCACTAGACTGGCGGAGGGGGAATTACGATTAATTGCTCACATCGAGAAACTCGGGTGGGAGTATTTTGGTTATTTATCATTCGAGACTTTAAGGGGCTATGCAGTTCCACATGGAACTGTAGTCTCCGCACTAAAACACGTGGAGCGGTCTCACATCGGGCGCGGGGGGGGCAGTACTCACATCGGGCGCGGGGGGGGCAGTACTCACATCGGGCGCGGGGGGGGCAGTACTCACATCGGGCGCGGGGGGGGCAGTACTCACATCGGGCGCGGGGGGGGCAGTACTCACATCGGGCGCGGCGGCGGGCAGCCAGCGCTGCTTGATGAAGTGCGCGGCGCGCTCGCCGAGCATGACGGCGGGCGCGTTGGTGTTGCCGGAGGGCGCGGGGGGGGCAGTACTCACATCGGGCGCGGGGGGGGCAGTACTCACATCGGGCGCGGCGGCGGGCAGCCAGCGCTGCTTGATGAAGTGCGCGGCGCGCTCGCCGAGCATGACGGCGGGCGCGTTGGTGTTGCCGGAGGGCGCGGGGGGGGCAGTACTCACATCGGGCGCGGGGGGGGCAGTACTCACATCGGGCGCGGCGGCGGGCAGCCAGCGCTGCTTGATGAAGTGCGCGGCGCGCTCGCCGAGCATGACGGCGGGCGCGTTGGTGTTGCCGGAGGGCGCGGGGGGGGCAGTACTCACATCGGGCGCGGGGGGGGGCAGTACTCACATCGGGCGCGGCGGCGGGCAGCCAGCGCTGCTTGATGAAGTGCGCGGCGCGCTCGCCGAGCATGACGGCGGGCGCGTTGGTGTTGCCGGAGGGCGCGGGGGGGGCAGTACTCACATCGGGCGCGGGGGGGGCAGTACTCACATCGGGCGCGGCGGCGGGCAGCCAGCGCTGCTTGATGAAGTGCGCGGCGCGCTCGCCGAGCATGACGGCGGGCGCGTTGGTGTTGCCGGAGGGCGCGGGGGGGGCAGTACTCACATCGGGCGCGGGGGGGGCAGTACTCACATCGGGCGCGGCGGCGGGCAGCCAGCGCTGCTTGATGAAGTGCGCGGCGCGCTCGCCGAGCATGACGGCGGGCGCGTTGGTGTTGCCGGAGGGCGCGGGGGGGGCAGTACTCACATCGGGCGCGGGGGGGGCAGTACTCACATCGGGCGCGGCGGCGGGCAGCCAGCGCTGCTTGATGAAGTGCGCGGCGCGCTCGCCGAGCATGACGGCGGGCGCGTTGGTGTTGCCGGAGGGCGCGGGGGGGGCAGTACTCACATCGGGCGCGGGGGGGGCAGTACTCACATCGGGCGCGGCGGCGGGCAGCCAGCGCTGCTTGATGAAGTGCGCGGCGCGCTCGCCGAGCATGACGGCGGGCGCGTTGGTGTTGCCGGAGGGCGCGGGGGGGGCAGTACTCACATCGGGCGCGGGGGGGGCAGTACTCACATCGGGCGCGGCGGCGGGCAGCCAGCGCTGCTTGATGAAGTGCGCGGCGCGCTCGCCGAGCATGACGGCGGGCGCGTTGGTGTTGCCGGAGGGCGCGGGGGGGGCAGTACTCACATCGGGCGCGGGGGGGGGCAGTACTCACATCGGGCGCGGCGGCGGGCAGCCAGCGCTGCTTGATGAAGTGCGCGGCGCGCTCGCCGAGCATGACGGCGGGCGCGTTGGTGTTGCCGGAGGGCGCGGGGGGGGCAGTACTCACATCGGGCGCGGGGGGGGCAGTACTCACATCGGGCGCGGCGGCGGGCAGCCAGCGCTGCTTGATGAAGTGCGCGGCGCGCTCGCCGAGCATGACGGCGGGCGCGTTGGTGTTGCCGGAGGGCGCGGGGGGGGCAGTACTCACATCGGGCGCGGGGGGGGCAGTACTCACATCGGGCGCGGCGGCGGGCAGCCAGCGCTGCTTGATGAAGTGCGCGGCGCGCTCGCCGAGCATGACGGCGGGCGCGTTGGTGTTGCCGGAGGGCGCGGGGGGGGCAGTACTCACATCGGGCGCGGGGGGGGGCAGTACTCACATCGGGCGCGGCGGCGGGCAGCCAGCGCTGCTTGATGAAGTGCGCGGCGCGCTCGCCGAGCATGACGGCGGGCGCGTTGGTGTTGCCGGAGGGCGCGGGGGGGGCAGTACTCACATCGGGCGCGGGGGGGGCAGTACTCACATCGGGCGCGGGGGGGGCAGTACTCACATCGGGCGCGGGGGGGGCAGTACTCACATCGGGCGCGGCGGCGGGCAGCCAGCGCTGCTTGATGAAGTGCGCGGCGCGCTCGCCGAGCATGACGGCGGGCGCGTTGGTGTTGCCGGAGGGCGCGGGGGGGGCAGTACTCACATCGGGCGCGGGGGGGGCAGTACTCACATCGGGCGCGGCGGCGGGCAGCCAGCGCTGCTTGATGAAGTGCGCGGCGCGCTCGCCGAGCATGACGGCGGGCGCGTTGGTGTTGCCGGAGGGCGCGGCGGGCAGCGCGCTCGCGTCCGCCACGCGCAGCCGCCCCACGCCCTGCACCTGCACGCACGACATATACTTTAGCGACCACGAATAGACTACGAGATGATGCTTGTTGATTTTAATAATAATAATAATAAAAATGGTTTATTGTCTCAAATTACAAAAGCAGTACATTATATATATATAAAAAAAAAAGAAAATACTGAGACAAACGGTGGTGACTCAGCTAATGTTGAGCAAGAGCATGCACTTGCCCAACGCTGATTTTCAGTCACCCCTCTTTCCCAGAAGATCAAATGTGGGGATTTTAGTATTAAAGGAGCAGCAGCACAAACTAAGCAATAATAATTTAGCTACGATTACTCTTTTTACAATATTACAAATATATATGAGTCAGACACCAAAATATTATACTGAATATCTATTAATTAATCAACTGTCATTCAAATTCAAATAATATGCAATATATTATAATTTAGCACTTTGCACAGATCAGGTATTATTACTGGGTATGTGTGTATGTTTCGTTGTGTATGTGTGTGTGTTTTTGTGAGACTGTGAGTGGTATGGACCGTTAGAAATATTCTTTCAACGGGAGACTGTTCCAGTATGCATGCTTCAAGTCTTCCGCAGCTAATTGTCGTTTTAAAAGGGCCAATTTGTATGTTTTCTTGAAATACAGTCCGCTCACTTTTTTCCTTAAAGGTGGAGGCAAATCATTCCATATTTTTGCAGCCGCATACCTGAAGCAACCTCTGAACCGCGTTGTTTTATGGCTTGGCATCTTTAAAAGATTTTGTTCACTAGATCTACCTCTAAAAGATCCTTTGTGGAACCACGTCAGTTTTTCAAAAAGATATTCTGGTCTTTTGTTCCAGATCACTCTATGAATGATATTAGCCAACTGAAGTTCCCTCCTACCCATCATATTGAGAATACCATTTTTGTTAAGGTATGGGGTTATGTGCTGTCTTTTGGGTATGTTAAAGGAGAATCGTATACAGGCATTCTGTACTCTTTGTATAGCTCTTTCGGAGTTTTTGCTTACTCTTGGTCCGTAGATTGAACTGTAGTTGTTAAAGACCGACAGCACGAGTGAGTCCACAAGTTGAACACGTAATTCTTCTTTTATATATGGTCTTATTTTATATAAGATTTTAAGCCTAAAGAAAGCATTCTTTATTTTTTCATTAATATGATCAGTGTATTTCTGTTCACCGTCCATAATCAATCCCAAATTCCGAGCGGTCTTCACCTCTTTCAACATAATTCCATTTATATTAACCTTGCCACTATATTGAAGTACCTTTTGTATTTGATGTTTAGTACCCAATATTAACATTTGCGATTTGTCCGCATTAAGAATTAATGAATTTGTCTGTGACCAGCTGTATACATTATTTAGATCATTGTTCAACCTTTTTATTGCTCCTATGACATCGTTTCCGTTGAATGAATAATATAATTGGGTGTCGTTCAGCGTAGAGGTGGTATTTACACATTTTGATGCAGCTAGGTAAATCGGCAGTATAAATCGCGAATAGTATTGGGCTCAACAGGGATCCTTGCGGCACTCCTCTCTCAAGTGCCCTTATTGTTGACGAAAGTTTTTCTCCATTTCGATCATCTGTAATTACAACCTGCTCTCTATCCAACAAAAATGTCTGGAACCACTTACAAGTATTTATCGAGAAGCCGTAGAGCTTTAGTTTTTTAAGTAGTAGTGTTGGGTGTAAGCAGTCAAAGGCGCGAGAATAATCAAGGAGGATAAGTATAGTTGTTAGTCCCATATCAGAGGCCTCTGCTATATCATCTGTAACATTCAAAAGTGCCGTCTCTGTGCCATGTCCTTTGCGAAAACCAGATTGAAACTTTGGGAGTATTTTATTTGTCTCCAGATAATCAACAATCTGTCTCAGAACTACCTCCTCTATTACTTTAGAGAGAACTGGCAATAGTGATATTGGGCGTAAGTCTTTCCAATGTTCAACCCTATTTTTCTTAGCAATAGGTCTTATTACAGCTCTTTTCCAGCAGGTTGGGAAGGTATTAGTTTCGATTGACCTGTTTACGATAGCCGTGATAATTGGGAGCGTTACATCAAGAGTCAATTTGATCATGTCAATATTTATCTCGTCATAGCCTGCAGCTTTTGTTTGAATTTTTTTTATGGCTCTGAACACTTCGTCTTCTGAAACAGGTTTAAGTTCAAGGACGTTCCTTTGAAGTTGACTAACTGGCACAGATACACATTCTAAGTCAACGTCACCAGAAGTGGGCAGCTCAAGAAAGTAGTCATTTATTTTATTGGGATCGTTGAGATGTTCTGGGATTAAACATATAGTAGCATTATCAAATGCATCGGTCTTTTTCAAATTTCTCCATAATAATTCTGGTTTCTTAATGTTATTATTTATGTAGTGATTATAGTACGCCCTTTTTTCACGTTCAATAGTAGACGTGACTAGGTTTCTAAGGCTACGGTAGTAATCTGTAGAAGCTTCGGTTCGCTTTCTCCTTGATTTCGCCAAAGCCTCGTCTCGCAATCTCATCATAAACTTAACCATGTCCGTAATCCAAGGTTTCGGTTTCACTCTCTGAACAATATTTTTGGTTGGAGCGTGAAAATTAAAAAGATCTAAAACAAAGTTGTTAAATGTATTTACCATCTCATTTATGTCGTCTTTATTCAAAATGTTATTCCATGGAAACGATCTTAGACTTTCGTTAAAGAGGTCTACGTTTATATCACGCAAGAAACGCAGTTTTTTAGTAGATTTCGGTACTTTGGGTTTTCTGACGTCCAGATCCACCAGAACCAAGGCGTGGTCGCTCACAGTGTTATGTATAATAAAGGGTTTCCTACATCGTGGTGGAATGTCAGATAAAACAACATCCAAGATGGATTCTGAAGTTTCAGTAATTCTTGTGGGTTCATCGACAAGTTGTTCCAAGCCGTGATGTTGACAGAACAGGAGCAATTCCCTAGTGCGTGGGCAATTAGCATTCTCAACGTGAATGTTCAGATCTCCGAGTAGGCAGGTATAATTGCAATCTGCCATAGAAATAATTGCCTCACTGAGAGCATCGAGAACATCACCCACTTTTACCCCTTCTGGTCTATAGGCAGTTCCTAGGGCGAGTTTACCTCTCGGTAGTTTGACTTCAATCCACATTTGTTCAAGAGTCGATGAAGGGTGCTGCCGCAATCTAAAAGAAATGTGTTTTTTAATGTAAAAACCAACACCTCCACCTTTTTGATTTTGTCGAGCTTTGTGAATAAATATGTATCCTGGTAGCGCAGGAGCTACCATCTCCTCTCCTTCTCTGATCCAACTTTCGTTGATTGCTAGTATGTCAGGTTGGTGATTTAGAATTGCTCCACTAAAATCGTCTCGTCCCGTGTTAAGTGATCGAACGTTCCAAAGTCCAAGCCTCAAATAAGTTCGTCTTTCATTAGCCATTGAGCTTTAGATATATATTCCAATACCAATGTTTCAGATATGAACTCCGTAATTTAGTGTGAGTCTTGAATGAGTGTGTGCGTATTAGGAAGAGGTGACCTTTGCAAAGCTTACAATATTTACCATTAATTATCTGACTAAAAAGAAAACACAATCTCTGATCCACATTTCTCAAAAACAGTACAGAAATAAACAAATTTAAAATTTTCCAAAAATCTTAAGAAAGTCCTCCTCCGAGTGAAGCCGATATCTTGCCCTCCCCTGGTCTTTGCGAGCGAAAATTTTGCCTTCCCGGGTCCATACAAACTTAAAATTTGTTTCACGGGCTAATGCTCGTGCCTTCTGGAATAGCATACGGTTATAACCCGTGAGTCGCTCATTAATATAAAGATTTCACAGATTTCGCAGATTTCACAGCGGCGTTCCCGACTCGGTCGCTTATCCAAAATTTACCCCTCAAAAGTTAAAGTACTAAAATAAAACGAAATATTGCGTATGCATCGTTCGGGTGTCGGCTCGAGAGTTAGGAGGTCGCACCCCTGGAATGATATACGTAGGTCCCTCTTTTGTAAATTTGTCCGCCCGGTGCTACGTTCTGGCATATTCTCCCGATCGAGAATGAACGAACTCTAGAATCCGGCGAGCCGAATTCTCCAGATACTTCCTCCTAATCCGACAATAATTTTGGTTTCTGTAAAACGATATTCAAAACGTATAAAAAGTATACTGAAAAAAATATTCAGAGTAGCTCCGTCAGATTATTTGGCAAATAAAATATAGAATATTTTCACATCGATCGTTCGCATTATACTGATACTTTTTATTTTCCATAGAAGACATGTTATACGAGTATAATCAGATGTGCATAATAAAACAAACTAATGGCAGCAGGTACAGTCCGCGCCCACGGCGTGGGATGTACCTGCAGCAGCGGGTCCAGCACGGCGGCGGGGTCCCCGCGCGGTCCCATCCTGCAGGAGCCGGCCTGGTGGTTCTCGGGCGCGGTCTGCATGCGCACGGCGCACTCCCAGTACGCGTCGCACCCGAATTTCAACTTCTCGCATCCCTTCACCGGCGTCCTGTCCAGTTTCATGCCGTAACGTTTTAGGGCCTTGGTCTCCGACAGCTTGATGGCGAATTTTATACCCTCGATGAGGGTTTTCACGTCGTCCGGGTGGGTTAAGTAGCTGAAAAGTCGAAATTGTTAAGTGTGTTGAGTACTCACAAAAAAGTTAAATGCTCAGGTTTCTACAAATAATACCTACAGCAGGCATTGTTTCACAGTTTACAATCGATCTTACGCACTTTATATAATCGAAGCTTAGGGATAATATTTTTCATACAATCTAGATATCTCCGAAACGAGAGTGGCAGAGCATTTAACAAAAATTTTAGTCTTGAAATTTGCCATTCAAACTCACTTTGCGAATATCTTAGGATGGGCGAAAGGATCAGACGAGGCGATCTCCAAGCGGCCTCTGCTCTTAGGCCGCAGGACCGTGGGGAAAATTTGTATAGTTCGAGAGCCGTTGCCCACCCTCTCTCCCACCATGCCGGTCTTCGCGCAATCGGCCAGGAAACCCCCGAAGAAGATCTGAACGTCCGGATTGTCTCCTGCCGGATCTGCATACTTGGTGTTGATGAAGCCGGTCACTTCCGATATGCCTGGGCGAAATTTTTGGTTAAAGATCTCTGTTCGGGGGGTTAAAGCTCGTCTGTCGTTTGTCGATGGAAATATAAATAGATCGGCCTCACCGGTGCCGGACATGAGGCCGTCCCTGAAGAGCAGGTACTCCATGGCGGTGGCCCAGTTGAGGGGCGCGGTGTCGTTGTCGCTGATGCGGAAGCTGAGGAAGTGCGCCACGTGGTTGTGCAGGTTGCGGCCCACGGCCTCCAGCGGCGCCCGCACGCGCACGCCCGCGCGCCGCAGCGCCGCCGCCGGGCCCACGCCGCTCAGCTGCAGCAGCTGCGGCGACGCCACCGCGCCCGCGCTGCAAATCAAATCAAAATTATCTATTCAGTCTAGGCTGTTACGAGCACTTGTGAAAGTCGAGAGCTACGCCATCGGTTCGTAAATCTACGGCGGGAGACCTTGTACCGAGAAGAACCGGCAAGAAACTCGGCAAGGGCTGCTTTTTTCTCCCTGTTTTATTTCATACAGAGCGTCAAGATTGAAAAATGACTTCATTAAAATTTGAAGTCACTTTCCATTACAATATTACACAATATTAGAGTAAAACAGTATTTTCGTCAATCCAATCACATTTGTAGCCAAAGAAGCTCACCGATTAACAATTTAATATATATGAAAAATGAGCCATATTTAACTCCAAGCAGTTTTGTCGTTTAAATATTCATTAACAGTATAATATCCTTTACTGAGTAGACAATTCTTAATATGGGTTTTAAACTTAGGTAATGGTAAATTTAAAATTTCCATAGGAATTTTGTTATAGTAGTGTACACCATGACCCATAAATGACGATAGAACCTTCTTTAGCCTGCATGACGGCAAAACAAGTTTATCTTTGTTTCTAGTATTAAAATTGTGTACATGACTATGTTTAATATAATTGTTAATATTGTTTCTAACATAAAGTATACAATTGTATATGAATTGGGAGGCCACTGTTAATATCCCAATTTCTTTGAATTTATCTCTAAGTGATGTTCTTGAACCCAATTGATAAATGGCCCTTACTGCTTTTTTTTGTAAAATAAATATAGACTCTATATCTGCAGCCATACCCCACACTAGAATGCCATATGACATAACGCTATGGAAATAACTAAAGTATACTGTCCTAGCGGTATCTACATCTGTAAGTTGCCTAATTTTTTTTATTGCAAAGGTAACTGAACTTAGTTTTCCTGCCAATAACGAAATAAGAGGATGCCATTGCAATTTAGAATCCAGCGTTACACCTAAGAAGATTGTTGAATCAACCAACTCGAGCTTTTCATCATTAAGTTTAATTTCTGTAAGTTCAGCTTTTACATTAGGTAACATAAACTTTATACATTTCGTTTTTTTAGCATTTAACTGGAGATTATTTACAGTAAACCAGGTCATAATCTGTGAGAGAGCATTGTTTACATCGTCAAAATTATTTTTACATCTATCAATATTAAATATTAAAGAAGTATCATCTGCAAACAATACTATATCGCATAAAGTTTCGGCAAAAAATGGCAAATCATTTATGTAAGTTAGAAACAGAAAGGGACCCAGAATAGATCCCTGGGGAACTCCCATTTTTACTTGTGATCCAGATGATCTCACACCGTTAATATCGATAGTTTGAGTTCTGCAACTGAGGTACGACAATATTAGTTGTAGGGCGGAGTCTTTGATACCATAGTAATTTAGCTTCGTTACTAGTGTTTGATGCTCAACGCAATCAAATGCTTTGGATAAGTCACAAAATACTCCAAGAATATGTGTTTAAGAAGTGCTACACCAGCATCAGCAGTAGAGTGACCTTTTTTGAAACCATATTATTTAGTATGCAGTAATTTATTTAAATTAAAATAAGACAATAACTATTCAAGAATAATTTTTTCAAAGATTTTACTTAACGTCGGTAATATTGATATAGGTCTTTAATTACTATGGTCTTCCCTATTTCCGGATTTAAAAAGAGGTATAACTTTGCTTAGCTTCATAAGATTTGGAAAAATTCCTTCATCTATACAAAGATTAAATATATCAGTCAAGTAAGGGGCTATAACATGAACTATAATTTTAATAATATTAAGAGATATGCCCCATTAATCACGTGTTTTTAATTTTCAGACAATTAAAAGTTTTAATAATATCTAAGAAACTAATATATTTAAATTTAAACTGGCTGTCTATCTTAGGCACGTATTTTTCTAAAATAGCCTTTACGGCAGTTGGTGAAGAATTTAAACCATTTGTTGTTTCAACTGGTATGTTTAAAAAAATACTCATCAAATATATTAGCAATTTTATCATGAGATTTGATGGTCGTGTTATTAAAGTTAAGTGTCAGATATCTTCACGTATTTGCTCCTTACCGGTTTCATGGTTTATTATATTCCAAGTTGTTTTGACTTTATTATTGGAATTCTTTATTTTTTCTTTAATAAAATTTGACTTTGCCGCAAAACACACCCTTTTAAATACTTTCGAATAATTCTTCACGTAATCAATGAAATTTTGATTATGGTTATATTTTCTTAAAGCGTATAATTCATTAAGTTTGTTTCTACTTTTATAAATACCTGTTGTAGCCCAGTCACAGAACTGTAACTTCTGTGTAACTTTTACGGTCTTAAACGGAAAAGCCTTTTCGAATTCATTTTTTATAAGGCAGAATAGATTACTATAAAGATACCATTATTACCATACCATTTCAATTAATTTCTCATCTATGTTATTTTTAAAATTATCTAGGCGTATTTTAGTAATTGGTCTACACTTAATAATTTTTGGCTCAAATATAATATTATTAAATATTAAATTAAATATTAGTGATATTAATCCTATATATTTACCTATAAAATATTGTATTATTCCTTCGTTCGATCTCTATTAGAATATGTATGCGTCGTTTGGAACCCCCCCAATATGCTATTCACATTGCCCGAATTGAAAAAATACAAAATAATTTTTTGAAATCTTTAGATTATTGAACAGGACATTTCTTTGTTGACTATGAATCTGCATCTAAAAGGTATAATATTGATTCCTTACAAAATAGACGTGTTTGTCTGGATGAAGTTTTACTTTACAAAATAATAAACAATTATGTGGACTCATCTTCATTATAAAATTAACTAAAAACTTTTTTTATTGTTCACCTACTGCCTCCTGTAGATTATACAATGACAATTTAAATGACGTTGACATTTTTTCGCTATCATTAAATCAATATAAACGAAAAGTGGGAGATATTATATTTAAAAATGAATAATCAGAGTGAGTTTTTGAGATTGTTGTGGAGAAGCTGTTTGTTTGTTGTGTTAAGTTTATTCGATATCATCACTATTGTTAATAGTAAGCAATTAAATAAATTTTGTTAGTAGGTACTTGTATTTTGTAAATGATTGTTTGTTTTCCTAAATAAATAAAAAAAAAATAGCTAAAAATATCTGTTAAATTTGAATAAAATGACTTATAATGTTCTAGTTCTTGATGTTTAAATTTTAATCATGCAATTTTTCTTCGAAGTTTTGTAAAAACAACTTTAAGCAATTACAGACACAGACTAATCGTCGACGCCATTTCGTAAACAAATCGAAATTAGTGTCGTGTTAGTGGAGAATTAATATGCTAAATGAACTTTACGGTGGCATTGAAAGCAGCCATCCTATTGTAAGTTTTAAATGTCATGATTTAACTATAATTATTGTAAGATTAGTTGGCTGTATTATAGGTATACATACTTTAGGCCGCGATTTTATACGCGTGGTAGTTTCTTTGAGCAGAATTATTTTTCTTTTAGAATATTTCTGTTATCAAATATTTATTTATTACTTATCAATTGCCTAAAATATAATTTTTGATATTGACAGATTTTTCGTGCCTTCCATCGAGTAATAAACAAATGCGACTGTAAGATGCAGGCGATGCTCATAAACGAACTTATAATATTACTGAGTCGCATCTCCGCGGTCATGTACGATAGCGTGACGTCACAACGATGAGGTACCGCGGGAAGCCAATTATTCTTCGAGCTGCGAGAGCAACTTCAAAATCTCATAACTCTTTTATTTATGTAAATATTTAAGAAATTCCCATGTCACAGTATTTTATGATCATTTAATTTTAAATAGAACGAAAAATTTAGTCAACTAAAATCACCGATAAGTATCTCCGTTATTTTATATCTGTCCTTGTAGTGCTCACCTCAGAACGATCTCGTTGTTGGCGAAGATGGTTTCGGTTTCGCCGCGGCTGTTCCTCACTTCGACCGCGTAAGCCTGCTTGGTGGTCTCGTCGATCAGGATCCTGGTGGCCGTGGTGTTGAGCATCACGTGCAGGTTCGGGCGGTCGCGCGCCGGCCGCAGGAAGGCGCGGGCGACGCTCAGGCGCGACCCGTTGCGGTTCGTCGTTTGGGCGATCGCGAAGCCCGTGTGGTGCTCGCCGTTCAGGTCTCGGAGCTCCCCAGCCGGGTAGCCTGAAATATTCACGTTGTATAGATCTAAGCGAGGACTCATAAGTCTAAGCCCCACAAGGCAAAGTTTTTGGAATATTAAAATTTCGTAGATATCTTGAGACAAATTAGATTATGTTTCTTCTAAAATTAATGAAGGCGTTTAATTTATATGTTGATTATTAACAATATTGACAAAGATCAATATAAGCATGGAAATTACGCCGTTTACCTAATTCTTCTGCCGCCTTGATGAGACTGTAACTCAAGGGCGGATGGTAGGGGAACTGCGATACAGTAAGGGGGCCGCCGGTGCCGTGGTAGCCTCTGTCCATCTTGTCCACTTGTTTGTTGTCTTCAGATTTGAGAAAGAACGGCAGCACCTCGTCGTAGGACCACCCTTCTATACCGGCGGCTGCCCATGAGTCGTAGTCCTTGCGGGAGCCGCGCATATACATCATTCCGTTCATGACCGATGTGCCGCCAAGCACCTGAAAATTCATAAATATAAGATATCTAACACCGACTTGACAAACAACAACATCCTGCTAACGAGAAAAAGACCAAAGGAAAACTTCCACGCTTTTTGTTAACCATTTGTATTTTAGGGTAAGGAATATAGGAATACCTTTCAAAAAACCTATTTTTCTAGTTGGTTGAAAAGGAGCAGTTGACATTGGCTTTTAATTTTAATTAAGAATCAAAGTTGGAACTATTTGCGTTTTCTTTTGTTTAATTAATGGATGGACTGAATTAAATCCAGATTAGCTGATAGGTGAAAGCATGGTTCATTAAAGAATAACGAATATTTTGATATTGGGTACCTTTCCTCTGGGCCAGTAGCACTTTCTGTCCTTCTCCCCGAGGCAGGCGGCCGGCTCAGGTTCTGTGCTATATCCCCAGTCTATGCTGGACCCTATGAAGTTTAGGAACATCGATGGCACCTGCGCGCCAGTTGGCTCGTCAAAACCTTAAAGAAAAGAGAAAAAGGCATCAGGATTCAGGATATAACTGAAGAAAGGGTTTTCATATTAGTTCATCTGCGACTTCCCCTGCGAAAACTTCAGAAATGTAATACCAAAAGAAATATATTATTTATAAATTAGTCTTGTTAGGAACTATTCACTTATGTTTAACTTCAAATAAATTGAAGGAGAGAATCGGACGCCACAAGGTACATATTCACTTCCTTGCCAGCACTATGTCTCCATATTCCATCCACCAGCCTTTTATGAATAAAACACACAACAATTATTAAATACTGTGTGATATGTGTTTCTGATATTTCTTTACAATCACCACCAGCTTCCTTACACAAGTACAGTCCTTAAAAGGAACATCATTAAAAGTTCTCTGGCCGTACAGTGCTAGTGTGAAGGTCTTATTGCAACTAGTATACCTGCTTCAACCAGTAGCACCTTCCAGTGTGGCACTTCAGAGAGGCGTGATGCGACCACCGAGCCCGCCGATCCCCCACCAATCACTATGAAGTCATACACCGAGTCCATGTGTTGACGGAACTGTAGGACAAATTAATATACTTACAGTAGAAGACATCACATATTACAGCGATACCAAGATTACAACCACTCAGATACGAGACAATATAGAAAAATTAAGAGTTTCCTAATTTTATTTGGCAATCAACCAAAACATTATTTATTTAAAAACTAAATCTACACGTAAGTTTTAAGTTGTTATATATAAAATCTACACATCACCAAATTTTAACTACAATAGTAACTAAATTTTGTATTCACATTTAATTAATGTTGCTTAACAATCTAACGCGTTTTAATCAGCCTTTATAGCAGCTTTGAGTTGAACAACATTTTCTTACCTTTTCTACACGACGACTTTTATACATCTTGATAAGGAGAATGGAGAAGAATTTATATATATTTATCTGCTCATAAACAAATTGATTTAAAAAAGTCTTATGGCCACCAAATATCTATATATCAATTAAAATGATAACTCATTAATTAATGAATTGATTAAATAGAATAATCTCTCCATTTATAATAAAATATCCCCCGGTCTATTAAAAAAGACAATCTAATAAATTATCTATTTTTTTTTATTTTAGCAATAATCGGAATTAAGTATGTTTTGATAAAAGGTAATTAAAGTGGCGTTCATTAAATTGGCTTAAGTATAATATTAATGATATAAATATTATGCCGAAATATAAATAATGCTTGTTCGAAACCAGGCTATTACACTAGTTTTTCTACAGAATATGCACCATAGTGCACAATCAAGTTTTCTGAATAGATCTTTATATAAAATCCAGCACGTGTTTCCTAGAGAAGTGAATCTATTATAATCACTGTGCACAAAAACTAACCTCCGGGAGACAACAATGCGGAGATACCATCAGCCAACTGGTGGCAACACTTCTTCAATAATTGTTACACACTGTTTTACTATTGTTCTAAGTTATTATATATTGTTTCTGCTTGGTATTACAATGTTAATACCGTTCGCAGACTCAAGACTTTTTGCTAATAAGTTAAATCGCTTTTCTATTAAATTTCATAATTCAGAAGGTAGTATATGTCTGAAGTAGGTAAAACTTTTTGATATAGTTGCATCATTTTATTTTCAAAGACTTAATTAGAATATTCATAAGTTTAAATTAATATCAAGGGAAAAAATATTTAACGGAATACTTTAAGTAATCTCCTTTAAAATGTTATGCAAAACACTGTTATTAATCAGGTACTGGTACCGTGAATTGCAGCCATTAAAGTAATGACATGTAATCATACGGAATGAGTTGCGGACGCGAAACGAATCACAGCTGATATTCGATTATGTTATCTGGATATGCGATAAAGATTATATTTTTTTGAAATCTCTCATAAACTAACAGTGATCATGACATATGAAATCTGTTAGATATCTAATCATAAATTGACTACCCGTCCTTTTTACGAATGTTTCTAGATGTATATTTCCCAAATTATGGGTCGCGACCCACGCGGCCGCGAACTAGTATTGAGGCCCCTAATGTGCGATTCGTCAATGTTAACAGCTTAGGGATGGATCCCAATATTGGAAAGTTTTGTTAGATGGGTCGAAAATCAATCAACTTTGGGAATCACCGGCACTAGGTATTTGTTTCAATCATTTTACTTGTGATAGGGTTAAGTTATATTTTGTCAAGTGATCGTACTATTATGTTACTTTAAAACGAACTTAAAGGAGTCCGGTAGGTTAAAATATGGTTTGTTCAAAAGACGCGGCACTCAAAAGAAGAGACTTGTACGCGCAACGACTAATACTTAAACCATGTGCCCAATCTATCACTATACATTAAAGGACATTGCTCAACGTCCATACATTGGTGGCCCCAGAGCCAAAAAAATATAGGAAAATACTTATTTTATTGTGTGTCACTAATTAATTCTCATTATGTATTTATTATACCGCGATCGAGTTTTAGAATTTATTATCACGCAAAATATTATTCATTTTGAGTCAATAATTTGTTTGGAAAACCACCAAGAGATGGCACTCTAAGTACATGATATGATATTGATGTCTATATTGTCGAAGCAAAAAAAACTCAACTTTAAGAAAGTTGGTTTTTCGTTGTGATTTGTAAGTTTCTAAGTCAATCAATAGACAAGTAAATCATTCTAATAGTTAAATAATATGCCTATTGATAAGCTTAAAATTAAAAAACCTATAGCTTTTTGATGGTTTACATCAAAAGATGGCGCCTTAAATACATAAATGACATGATGTTAATATGTTTACGAGAAATATAAAGGTAATGTAATAGAAACAAACTAGTTTTTAGGATATGTCGTATGAATATCAATCTTTCTGAATAAACAAGAGTGAATTATCAACAGTTAATGAATTTAGTTTGTATAATATTTAGTTTTTATGTCCTTATGTTTTAGTTGGAAAATCACCAAGAGATGGTGCTTTTAGTAAATTTAAGTTTATTTTCGGTCAATTTAATTTAATATTTTTGTGTTCGATGATTTAAAGGTTATCTAATAAAAATAAATGATCTTCTTGATCTGACGTGTAAATTACATCCATCTGACTCAATAGTATTTAAGTATATTGAATGTGAATATTTGTGAATAAAAATGTTACTGTTAAAATACTTTTAAATATTAATTTTGGATCGCAGCTTGTTCGTGTCAAATAAATATTTGATTCCAATTTAATAAATAAATTAGTAATTATTATTGAAGTATTAATATTTAATGGTATTGGGGCCATTTCCGGCGATGTCCTTTATTGCTTTCGTGCGATATAATTTTATTCAATTTTTCTAATTAAAAATATACGATCTTGCAATATAAAAAAATGTGATTGACTTAAATATAGCATACATTTTGTATTAATAAACCAAAGCCGATGTAGAAATTTTGTTGAATAAATAAATAGTAATTATCAATCTTATGTAATTAAAAACCTATATATAGAGAGGAGTTATCTATGTCATCGCTTACCTTCAGTCCCTGATAAAATTAAAGGTACCACCTCTACAATATGTGTTTCATCATCAATCATCAACAAGTGTTTATAAGTAAGAAAAAGAGTTTCTCTCGTTGATGTCTTTTGTATGACGAAAATACGATTCGATTTTTTTATGTTATATTTAACCCACATTCCTTTTGCTATTCCGAAGCATTGTTATTCTAAAGCAGTTAACATTCAAGGATGAGAGAGAAACGAGTAGAGGTGATTATCTCAAGTAGTGACTTGCCGCATTTGCTGCAACGCCCAATGTGTATGACTGAGAGATAAAATACACTCATGGCTGATAGAAAAAGCACAATTTGGTTATTTAGCAAGAAATTAGGTCAGGTACTTGGTGACCTTGACGTTTTCTCTTCTGTCATTGGGGGGCGTCCATAAATTACGTGAGGTGTTTTTTCAAATTTTCTGACCCTCCCTCCCCCCCTGGTGAGATGTCGTGAGATTTTGTTCAATCCCCTCCCCCATCCCCAAATCTCACGTGAGATTTTTCAAAAAGTGGGTTTCTTATTTAAACACGTTGGATTTTTTAATAAAAAGAAAAAAATAATAATTCGCTTCGTACTTTTATTTACGACTAGTTAGAGACTAGTAATCCATATTGCTCTTATTCATCGAGTCACACGTTCAGCTGACAGTGGCGCGAAAACAAAGGACGGGCTACATTGTACCGTAAATTCAAATTAAATTGAGCTATTTGGTATAAAACGAGTATAGTGGTTTGACAATCAGGAGTGATGTATAATGTCAAAGTACGAATGAAATTATTTTCTTTCCAACGAATAGTGAATGATCTTAAACTTAGACTTGTCACTCTATGAGGGATTCCCCGCACCGAGCCTTATTTTAAAAATTGCGTGATATTTGCCGAGACCCCCCCTCTCTCCAACGTGAGATTAGATGAGATTTGACTCGACTCCCTCCCCCCCTTAAACATCTCACGTAATTTATGGATGCCCCCTTGTCAATTTTTTTAGGCATTAGGCGGCCAATTGTTGAAACCGAACACTAACCTTAGTCCTCGTTTTATAATAAGACGGTAAGTGATACTTTTTGTTTTTTCGCAAAGAAAATCTTTTAGTCTATTTATAAAGGGTCAATGACCTGTGTCCTTCCGCAGGGGTCCTCGAGGTCACACTGGCTGCGCAGGAACACCTCCAGCAGTCCCATGAACAGCATGAATGCGCCGCCGCCGCAAGTCGACGCTAGCGTCGGCCCCGGCTGCGACATCGGGCAGTCGCACGTCAACGCCATCTGTTGACAAACATGTTGTTTATGAAATACTTTAATATATAATACTAAAATACTTTGTAACCTTTTTAAAAGAAAATTCTTTTTGGTAAGATTTCGTAAATAATTTGCATTTATTATGTTATTTTATGATTGTACCGAATTTAAATAGATAGATAATAATTTATACACTAGCTGTTTTTCCGCGACTTCGCCGTATTCACCCTATGACATCTCTGCCCATTTCTTTACTCATCCTAAACTAATATCCCCTTTCTCTACCTACAAATATTTTTCTTAATTCATTTTAAACCTATTTCTTAGTAGTCGTAAAACAAATATTACCAAAAAAAATATGGATAGCACAACAATGTTTAATACTTAATCTGAAAAAAATGCAGTAGAAATACTTATATAAATCAATTATGTATGTTTAGTTTTTAAAAGTAGGTATTATAAATATGTTTTTACTTAATCACTATCAACCTCTTAATGTTGTCACTGCTGGGGCATAGATCTTCGTAATGGATATTATAGGGCAACTTGCACTTGCAACAAACAGGCATAACATGAGATAGCAAGCAAGATAAGCAAGTAATTTGTTCTCTCTTCATTCTTTTATTAAAATTAATATATTAAGTAATAGTCAGGGAAATATTATGAGGGCTCGAAGAGATCAAATCAAATCAATTTATAATAAAAATCCTTAATCAAACAAATCACCTAACAGAAATCTAGCTGGGCATTTGTCGTTCTATTTTCTTGACAAAAATAGACTGAGGTTGATTTTCGGCTAGACCCTATTAAGTCTACCACTCAGGCGCAGAGCGTTTTAATATTATAATATTATTTAACCTAAATAATTACTACCAATGAAAAATTTATTTGTCTCATTCAAAGTGCCTAACTAAAGAGTTATTTTTTTACACACGTAACTTTTTTACACTGTATTATATCAAACAACTCTATAGTAAGTAACACAGTAAAAAGATTTATTAATTAGAACAAGAATTTAAAATTGATATTCAAAGATTAAATTGTTAATATATAATGGATATGTCGTAGCCAACTGGATAAAAGATCCGTCCAATTAAGCGGCTAGCCCTATAATAGAATAGCGTCATTCATTTGCACGGCTAAACGTCGATCAGCTGAGTAACCATTACAACGTCCTTCTACAGTGCTGCTGTACAAAGCCCTGGCACTGGTTAATTTTATAAAAAATTTAATTGTTTTCATCAGCCCTTTTACGTCCCCACTGCAGGGGCTCAAGTCTACCTTTTGGATGCTTAAGGAGGATAGTAGGTAAGAGTATTTAAACTTAGAAAAAAAATTAAAAGAAGAAAATGGATTTTTAGTGACATATATAAAAATAAATAAAATAGCTACATGTGTTCAAACTGTTTAAAAACATGCTGAGTTATTGTTCTTTCTTTTAAGGTTTCATTTATCTAGATATCTTTACAATTTTTGAAGTTAGGGTGCCTGAACCAGTTGAAAGTCCGTAATATCAATTTTTAAGGATAAAAAAAACAGGTTTTTACTATTGTCGGTATTTTTTTAAATTATGACGCTCAAAGTGGCTTCCGTCATTGCGTAAATATTTACGACAACGATTTATAACTTCTGTTGTCGTGATTTTCAGCTTCAGGGTGGAATTCCCAAAGATATGGTACTAAACCTCTAGGTAATTAGAGGAATGTCTCAATCAAATTTCAAGATTCTACGACCAGCGGTTATGACTGTACGTTGTCTGACAGTCAGTATGTCAGGACATCTCCTTTTATATATGTATAGATAATTGAGATAGCAATGCAGATAAACAAACACAGATTGCTGTAATGCATTATATCATAGGGAAAGGTCCGATGGAATTGATACACTTCATTGCAATTAGTTGTGTCCCAAATTTTAATGATAACTTGTCACCTCAAGGCCACAGCCACTTGGCCTCCGGCACTACTTGATACAGATATGTTTGTTTGGTTAATTTAAGATAAATCTAGTTTTTTTTACTAAATTATTGTTCGTGTATATGAAAGATGAACACAATTGAATAAACGAATAACAATTTTCAATGCACTACTTAAATCCCAAATGAGTTATATCCCAAAGTAATTAAGTGGAAGAACTTATAGAAATCTGAAATTACGACGGTAACACAACATTCTAAATATAATTTTCTATATTGACTCGGCCAGGAATCGAACACGGGACCTTTAATAGTAGACCTTTGAATCGATATGCGAATCACTCGGTCAAATGTGCCAGTACTAGTAAACGGAGCTTACTGTTTATTTATTTATCCTAGCTGAAGCCAGCTCGGCAACACCCGCCCTAATACTTTGTTTAGTTTAGTTTTTATTAAGGTTTTGATTTAACAACATATTTACTATTCATCGTAGTTCATGAAAATAGGATTTATTTAAACTGATAGCTATACATGTGTTCTCATTCCAATTACTTATTGAATGCAATAGTTCTCGAAGCCTTTTTTTAAAGTAACGACTCTAATTATAAAACAGGCAAAAAAGCAGCCCTTGTCGATTATCCTGCCGGTTTTTCTCAGTACTGTGTAAGTTTCCGCCGTATATTTAAGAATTTATGGATAGCTTTTTAATTTCCACACGAGTTGTTTCACAAAACTACCGCCTTTCCCCAATATTCATCTGTCATCGATATGAAAGAAAGATAAAGCGTTTATGTTATTGTGTGCTTGTTCAATTCGATTAGCTACTATCCATATCTTTATGAATAATGTCTTATAGTTCTTTTAATAATTAAATTATCTTATCTATAAAACTATTGGCGACCCTATTCTAATGCCCATTGTCAACACAAGGCTAAATGAATGGAAATCCATTAAATCTTATCTGACAATAATCTCTGCACATTCCAAAGAAACAAAGAAATTGTGTCATTTGCAATTTATAGGAGAAACGTATTTAAAAATATTGTTAGTAAATTCGTCGATGATTCATACGTTGATTCGGATCATAGGAAATATGTTATCAAAAAATATATTATATGTTTGGAAACAAATTCGATATGTCATAATTTAGGAAGAAACTTAAAGTACACGAACGGCTGATTTTGGTCATAAATATTGAGCGTGCGTCTCATACTACTAGCTCAGGTCTGAAATATCATATATTCAAGTATATGAAATCATATAGATAAAATAAATTAATATATATTAATTTTAACAAGAATACGGTTCAGGCGTGGTTCAGGCTTAGTTCAGTAGTTTATGCTTCATTTTAAGATTTTTAAAATTTGAATATGAGTAATCTTAAAGTGTTTTAATCTTTTTTGTCTAAGTACACTGTTTATAGATCTTTTAAATATAGGTTTATAAGGCCGAAAGCCAGTAATAAATATATAATATTATTTGGTCATTTAGTTGTAATTGTACGAATGTTGTTTTCTATCTTCTTTCGTCATTCGGAATTTTAAAAATTACAATTAAACCTTTCACATTATGCACGCGATTTAATTGCAGTGAGTAGAATCGTAAAGCTTTTTTATGTAAGTTTTGTATTATCTAAAACCAAATTAAGTATATAAAGCTTGTTTTATGAAAATCAGTAATCAGTTTGTAGTTGCGATATAAACCCACCATTGAGAGACAATTCTCTTGTCTCTTCATTGTCAATACAATAGTTGCACGAAAGCAAGTTATGTGTATAATTTTATAGTTACAAGACCACTGCTAAAATAAATGATTTCGAATAATTGTGATCCTCGCTTGGTTGCGTTATGAGGTCGAAGCTTTTATTGTACATGGCAATGCGTACAAAGCACTGTTATTGTGATTGACATCTGCTTATATATGTGTTAGCTTTGATTATGCATACATGCCAGCAATTACATATCATTGTATTTAATTCCAGCAGGTAGCTAATAATGACAGAATAAATAAAAATATGCTATCTGATCTTTGACGATAAATGAATAAAAGATATCTAAGATATGGTAACGATCGTGTCCAAATGTCATAATTATTATTAGGGGGTTTTGGAAAATAAGCATATTACAGATATAGACAAATGCATGTTAGAGAAAAGAGGGCGAGACAATTGTATCAATGAAACTAATTGAGTTTTAGACTCAATGAGGGACCGAACTATATAATGATATTTTTTTTTTTTTAGATATGATTAATCGTATCAAATAATTTAAAGACGTAGAACTATCAAGATATACATGGTGCATAAATAAATTCAAAAAAGTGTATTTCAAAACTATCACTTTAAAGGTTGGAAATTAATAATTAATATAAAACAATTAATAAAATTATTAAAAATAATGATATTTTTATGCGCTTTAAATTCTATGAAATAAAAGTGACAAAATCTTAAAAAATGCAATACATATTCGGTCAGGGTCATGTGTTAAGTGTGCTTGTTGATTATGAGTGATCAATTTTTGTAACGAATATAAATATAAAATTGTCTACACATAGGTCAGTATGTTATAACACGAGAGCAAACTAGTATCGCTTGCTACATTAAAAAATTGGCAAATTATTTATCGGTTACTTTTAAAGCACTATGTTATACAACTCGTGATTCCATATACAGGTTGGTCTAAAAGGAGAGATGTCTTAAAATTTAATTATATATAAATTTTATACCACTGAACGCCTTAATATTTTTATTGCATAGTCCTCATGAACTGTAATTTATAACAAATGATATATTCAGCTTCCTTCTATAGGTAAATGTAAAACGAAAATATTCTAGGAAAGGAAAAGAATAATTCGATAACTACTTGAACATGCATGGGGTAATATTGAGTACCTACCTCCTACTTCTAGAGCTGAGAAATAAAAAAAAATGGCATCGCGTTTTGGAACACCCTGGATTTATTCTGACTAATATAATAAATGACTTTCACGTCAGCATCGAGTCAATAAACACTTAGTATGTTCAGTGCGTACGCAATCTTGCGTATGCAATCTTGTTTAAATCTTAATTAATTTGTTGTGAATAAGAGACTAGCTTTTTACGCGACTTCGTCCA